TTCTTCTTCTTCTTCTTCTTCTTCTTCTTCTTCTTCTTCTTCTTCTTCTTCTTCTTCTTCTTCTTCTTCTTTCTTCTCTTTCTTCTTCTCTCCCTTCTCTCCTCCTCCTTTTTCTTTTCCTCCTTCTCCTTCATTTTCTCTTTCTTCTCCTCAACTTTTTCCTATTTGTTCTTTTTGTTCTTGTTTTTCCTGTGTGTGTGTTTTTTTTTTTTTTTTTGTTCTTCTTCTTCTTAGGAAATGAATTATCCTTATTTTTTTCACTTACAACATCTAATATTATAATAACAATAGATAATACACACTCAAGGGAAAGCTTTCTGGGTATTCTTAAAGATTTTGTAACTGTAAAGGAGCTCTGGTATTCTTGTTTGAGAGTTGCACTAGAAGTTAAGAGATTCCTCTGAGCCTTAGAAGAGAGCACAAGTAGCCTTATTACAACAGAAGGGAGGGAGTCATGTGTAGTTACTGGTACAGTGGTTGGGAAGAACACTCATGGCTGTGACCTTCTCATTGCTAAGCAGGAGCTAGTCTCAAAGGAATTCAGACTGTCGGAGTTTTTGTTTTCTTGATGCTTTTGTTTGTTTCGGGTGGTGAGGGTTAAATACAGGGTCTCCTAGCTAACATATTTACCATGGAGCTACTTCTGAGTCTCTAGCGGTATTGTTAGTACTCTATTTTATAGGTAGGAAAATTGAGGAGTACAGGTTAGTGATTTACCAAAGATCATGGAGTTAGGTAGAGATAGGTTCATTTGGTGCTTTGCTGACCACATTGACCCTGGGAAGAGTCACTGATCAGTCAACCATGGTATCATAAATGGTACCAATGGTGTGGTGACACATGACTAGAATCTAAGTACTTGGCAGGCCATAGGTTTGATGCAAGTTCAAGGACAGTCTGGTCTTCAAACTAAGTGTAAGGCCAGTCAAGGTTATCTAGCAAGACTGTGTCTCAAAAAGAAAAACACAAGCAAAAGGAAGAATAAACATTCCTAACACCTTGAAGAGTACAGATACCTTTTAAATTTTCTGGTCAGCTGGAGAAATTATTTCAGCAAAATAAAATAAGTTATACCTGGGGAAAATACATTAAATAAAGGTCCAGTTATCTTTATAAGTTTAGAAGACATGCTGGCAAGGTGAAAAGGAACATTACAGGAAAGCCCAGAAGAGTCTACGAAGTCAGTATTTCTTTGTTTTTGGTGTTTTTGGAGGCCATGAAGAAAAGGCAAAGTGATAATGCAAGTATTAGGAAGAGCATGATGTGCACAGCAAGCCTGGAAGCAACTGTCTATCCAGAAAGACCAGCAACTTCTCTGAAAGAACCATCTTTGGTTTGGTCATTGTAGTTGGCGTAGGTCTGCTTGAACCATGAGCTGCCAGTGGCGTACTCTCTGCTTCTTTGGTTTCAGCACCACATACTTGCTGAGATCGTGTGGACACGAAATCTCTTTCCGATCTACCTCATTACGTATTGCAGATGGTGCTTTATGGTTTTGAACTCAATTTTCAGGATGAGCATTAATAGAAAAGACATTAGTCCTTGAAGCACAAAAAGAGAAAAAAGGAGTAACTGGCCACTTACCGGGATACTTTCAGGAAGACTCCAGAATTTTAGATCTTGGCCATCTGAAGAATAAATGTTAAGTATCTTAGCTGACCACACCTGAAATAAATGTTTGCATTAAAAGAAAAAAAAAACGATAGGCTGACAGAATCCAGCAAAGAGGAGGCTATTAATAAACATTTGCTGTCTCCCATTCCTCACTCTAATATTTACAATGGAAAATATGGTCCACCAGTATTTACCAGTTTTGCAAAAGGAAAAAGAAAGTGAAAAAAAAGTAACTTTTAGATTATCAAAAATCAGTTCAGTACCCACCTCTTACCCAAGTCACAATATTGAGTCATTTCATCAGCACTGAGCTATAAGACTGATACATTTATATAACAGTGCTATAACTCAATACCTTCAAATTTTTCTGCACATGCTATCTTAATGGGAATTTACCAGAAATTTCTTGCCAGAATAAACACATTCCTTCAAGAGTAAAAGGCTGCACCTCTTTTCTATGAGCAGATAAACCAAATAATTTGGCATTAGTTATTATATTTCTCAGAGTTCACAGGACACATTTTGGTCTCCAACAGGGGCACAATAAGAGCTAGAGGCACAAAACAAAACAAAAAATATAGTAGCCAACTTTATACTCTAGCTAGAGAGAAAACAAAAGCAAAGTTTTGATGCCTGTATAGTTAACATGGAATAAACAACAGCAAAAATGAACAGGGGAATATCTATGAATCGACTTTAGTTATCCTGACAGGTATCCTGACAAAGGAGGTGGACCACACACAGGTTAACGGACCTCCTGATCCTGGAAATGTAAACATTTATGAGACAGGTACCATTTTATAAACAATTTACAAATCAAGGTAGAAGATCCTACAGTGACAATCCTGACATTTCAGGGATAAATGATGTCAGTCACTGGGCTTGGGAGTTACATAATGACATAAGTAGGATGAGTGGGGAAGAAAGAGAAGCAGTAGCTCTTAAGAATGGAGAAGGCTGACGCTGGACAATGGAGACTAGATGAAGGAGATGCACCAACCTTCCTCTACTTCCTCCTGTTAACCCCTGTTTGTGAAATCCACCCATCACACTCCAAGGTTGCTGTTAAAGAAAGGGGTATTTATGGGGTTGGGGTATCACTCCATAGCCCACAGGAGTCTTAAATTTGCAATACTGCTGGCTCGGTTTACTGAGTGTTGAGATTGTTAGGGTAAGGTGCCATATCCTACTCCAAGGAGAGATTTTAAAGATTCTTCTTTTCATTCTCACAAGCAGCGTTAATAGAGTCTTCAAGATCTAGAGAACCAGCCCTCGCTAATAAAACTTGCGTACTAGTACATCTTGGCTCTGTTCTATTTATTTGCAAGATCTTTGACTTTTTTTGTTTTAACTATTTGTAATTAAATTAAATAGATTTGCCAGCGTTTAAGGTCCTGTTCCCTCATATAGTGTTAAGATCCCACTCTTTAAATAATTATCAGAAAGACCAGTTTAAACGTGAGAATATCACTCATGGGTTACTACAAACTTTTATTTTATTATGTTTCTCTTTATTGTCAATATGTATAGGAAATAAAACCAGTGTAGCAAGTAGTGCTTCCTAGCAGACCTTCTTGGGAGATTAAAAAAAAAAAAAAAGCACTTTGAAATTAGAATAATAAAACTCTTTCAACTGATTATTACCTGCCCTCATATACTGCTTTTTAAAAAGAAAAGTATTTTATATAAAGCAAAACCACCAGAGATGAAAATGTTCCTCTTTGAAGTGTCAAACTGCTGTTTTCTTTCTATCTGTAAATAATAAATAAAATTTAATTTCTATCTTTATATCTGTTTTTATTGTAAATTCTCATAACCCAATTTCAGAAGTAGGTGGGATGTGAGTATAAAGAAAAGTAGTTTATTGGCATCATATAATTCTCCTTCAAGGACTAGTGACTTCAAGTCACTAGCAGGTAAAGGTGCTTGCTGCCTTGTGTGATGGCCATAGCTCAGTAGGAGGAGACCACTGGCCCTCCTGAGTTGTCCTGTGACTTCCACACAGCCTTCACGATTTGCAAGCTGTCTCCTGCCTGTAATAAATAAATGTAATGAAAACAAATCTCATTCAGCTTATTTTTTTTTCTTCAGAAAGTAACACAAAATGTTTGAGACAATTTCAAGTTATTCAGAATATCCAGGAAATGAGTATTTAGCTATGTTAGAAATTATTTATATGTATAAGTCATGAGAACATTTATAACTTTTAAGAAGTGCTTTCTTCAGTAGACTATAACAGAAAATTTCATAAGTTAGCTTCTGTGTAGCTCAGTAGCAAAAATAAGATAGAAATAGGAATAGCACCTTATTCACTGATGATAGCAATTGGCTCTAAGTTCATTGAGTTTTGTATATAAATATAACTGATAAAAATTATGCACTATGTAATTTTTATTCCTAATTTCCATGTGAATGGTCAATAATCAAGGCTAACTTTATTGCTTCCTAAATACAAAGTTTCAGATTTGAATGGGTCTCAGTGAAATGGTAAATTAGTAGTTGCTCCTTATTCTTTGCCATTCTTTCCTGTAGAGCGTGAAATGTAGATGAATCACCACACTGTTTCTCTTGGAGGGTTACTGACCATAATACACCTAAGTTAACAAAGCAAGGGTGAACTTAAGGAGTCTCCAGATTTCCCAGCTCCATGCTACTTTCTCATGTGAAATGAACCATGTTTTGTTTTGCATTTTTAGTCGCAGATATGGCCAGTACACCATGAACCAAGAAAGCTCCACCAGAGTTACAGAGAGACCTCCATTTGACCGATCGAGTTCTCAGGATTCTTTGGACAATACAGCAATGGAGGATTATTGGACGGAACTAGAAAATATCAAGAGCTCTAATGAAAATCGCCAAGAAGGTCAAGAGGCTGTAGTTGTCAAGGAGCCTGATGGTAATGACTAAGTAAATAAAATGTTTGTATATTTGTAGAAATATCCAGAGAGGAAAGGAACAGACTTTTGAACTTGAAGGTTCCATGATTGTAGCAGATATAAGAGTCCAGATATGAGGTATATGTAAGTTTATTTTGTAGGGATTCTATTAGAGCCCATTCTATTAGAGATTCAGTGAATTAAAATGATCTTACTGTTTAAAATAATCTGCATAGACTTTAATTACTGCCATAACACACTAACCTTATGGCTAGTTGGGCTTCAGGAAGTGCAGATGGTGATGGCAAGCTTCTAGCTCTTCAGTGTTTCCCTCTTTTTCCGATTAGTCAAGTAGCTTGATTTGTTGGTTTGTAGTCTGTTTCCTTCTAACTCAGACTTACATGCTGTAGCTCTTCCTGCTTTAAAGAATTAAATAAGTTAATTCTACCTTTCCATATATGGTAAAGGGTATTCATCTCTCTTTAAAGATTTTATTATTTTTAATCATGCATGTCTCTCTGTGTGATTAAGTGTGCACGAGCTACCCGCAGGCCAGAGGTGTTAGGATTCTCCCTACCAACTCCATACTCCTTGGGCTGGAATAACACACATTTGTGAACTAGAGGGTATTTATCTAGCCAATGCATTTCAACATGGCGGAAACTGTGTGGGTGATTTTTTAGACCTCTGTTAGACCTGATCAGGTATCATCCCACACAATATACAGATTTGAAGCAACACAGTATGCTTTGACATTGAAAGGGAACAGATTTGGACACTAGAAGATGCCATTAGCATTTTCAGTTCCCTTGGTTGCTTCTTTCTGATATTTAGTGCATGATTTCTTCTTACATTTCTTCCCAGAAGTATTTTATATACATTTTACTGCTGTACTTGATATTCTGAAGGAGACATGCGATACTTCACTTTTTAATGTATTTCTTAATTTTTGTACTATTTTCTTTAATCTCTTTAATTCAAGAAATCACCATATTTGTGATGCCTGATTTAGTCATCAATACTGTGGCTATGCTGTCCATAAATGTGTATGCATATTTTGGTGTGGCAGGAAATGTATAAATGCCAGAAAGATAAAATCATCATCAGTTCTGTGATCCAATAGTATAGACATCCCCAACTCTTAACTCAGTGACTGAAGTAGGTACCTCTACAAATAAGACTCTCTCCTTTGCTACAATGTTGCTTTAAAAATCATCTAGTCTTATCATGTCTCATCAGGACTGGCTTCTTTGTCTTCCTCTATGGACTAGTAAGGCTGTTCCCCCCTCAGGGGGAGATGATCAAAGAGCCATCCCATAAGTTCATGTCAGAGATGGTCCCTGTTCCTATTACTAGGGAATCCTCTTGGACACTGAGCTGCCATGGGCTACTTCTGTGCAGGGGTTCTAGGTTATCCTCATGCATGGTCCTCATTTGGAGTATCATTTTAACAAAAGACCCCTGTATCCAGAAATGTTGAATCTGTTGCTCTCCTTGTGGAGCTCCTGTCCCCTCCAGGTCTTTCTGTCTCCCACTTCTTTCATAAGATTCCCTGCACTCTGCCCAAAGTTTGGCTATGCGTCTCAGAATATGTTTTGATACCCTGCTAGGTAGAGTCTTTCAGAGGCCCTCTATGATAGGCTTCTGTCAGGTTCCCTGTTTTCTCTCTCTTCTGATATCCATCCAGTTTGTCTTTCTGAATAAAGATTGAGCATCTTACCCAGGGTCCTCCTTCTTGATTAGCTTCCTTAGATGTACAGATTTTAGTATGATTATCCTATATTATATGTCTAATATCCATTTATAAGTGGGTATAAGGGGAGGACTTCCCCTATCATTGGACTGGGGGAAGGGCATAGGGAAGAAGAAGGAAGTAGGGTGGGATTGGGCTACAGTTGGGATACAAAGTGAATAAACTGTAATTAATAAAATAAAATGAAAATTTAAAAAATCATCTACCAACAGCAATCTGGGGCCTGCCTTTTGTGTTCTAGTCAGACAGGATCTCACTACTTATTTTGAATTTGTAATTCTTCTACTTCAGACATCTAAGAGCTGTGATCCTAGATATGTGTAACTGTACCAGGCTTGGATATTTTTTCTCAATTTAATATTTCTCAGACTGATAAAACCATAATCAGCTAATCTGATTTCTCATTTATTTTCTCACATTTTCTAAATACATTATAAGCAAAATCTCTTTGGCTTGTAATAATCAATAAATATCTTTCAATCCATGTTTTAAGATAGAAATAACTTGCTAATTGTTCAGTAGAAAAAAATATGCTAGGGAAAACCACATTTAACTCTTTTTTTTTTATATGCTGTTTTATTGTATGCTACAGCCAGTGTATATAAAATAGTTCAACCTTGTGAAACAGAAATCCATGAATATTCAGAGAGGTAGATGTTAAGGACCAACAAGTAGAAGATTGTAGTATATCATGGCACGTGTGATAGAGAAGCTTTTGTACAGACTTCAAATTTAGTTGTTTTGAATATTCACTGGTTCATGAAAAGTGGTTTGAGAAACCTCAAGATGTATGACTACAGAAAGGAGTAGACTTTCTGGGGTCTGAAGGGATTTGTACTTGAAGACATTCCAGTCAGCAGAGGGTCATGCTGAGCATTCTGCAGACAGAACTGTTTCAAGTCTGCAGCTGCCTGGGACACCTTCACACGGTTGAGCCCGGGCTCCAGCCGGAGCTGCTGAACCACCTTCTTCATGGCGGCAACACTTGAAGAACCCGACATGGCGCTTGGGACAGCCATGCCGACTCATCAGTGCGAGCAAGGAGTGGCGGGTTGCCACATTTAACTCTTAAATGTAGAAATGTACCTATGGCTGTTTAATCTCCAAATTTAAATTAATTAATTTAGCATTGATGATGAAGAACAGTGGGCATATACTCACATTTTCTTAGGAATTATTAGTATTATTGTTATTATTCACAATAGCCACACGGACATAAAGTACCTTGGTGTGACCCTAACCAAGAAAGTCACTTATATGAAAAAAAATTCCAGTCTCTGAAGAAAGAATTAGAAGATATCAGAAAATGGAAAGATCTCCCATACTCATGGCTTGACAGGATTCACATACTAAAAATGGCCATCTTACCAAAAGCAGTCTACAGATTCAATGCAATTCCCATCAAAATTCCAACACAATTCTTTATAGACCTTGAAAGAAAAATTCTCAAGTTCATCATATGGAATAACAAGAATCCCAGAACTGCCAAAACAATCCTCTATAATAAAAGTCTTCTGGAGGTATCTCCATCCCTGATCTCAAGCTGCACTATAGAGCAACAATACTAAAAACTGCATTGTACTGGCATAGAAACCAACTAGTGGATCAAGGGAATCGAATGGAAGACCCTGAAATAAACCCACACACTTATGGACACCTCATCTTTGACAAAGATGCCAAAACCATACAATGGAAAAAAGATAGCATCCTCAACAAATGGTGCTGGTCTAGCTGGATGTCTACATGTAGAAAAATGCAAATAGATCCATACTTATCACCCTGCACAAAACTAAAGTCCAAGTGGATCAAAGACCTCAATATCAAACCAGACACACTAAACCGCTTAGAAGAAAAAGTGGGGAAGAGCCTTGAACTCATTGGCACAAAAGACAACTTCCTGAACAGGACACCAAAAGCACAGGCTCTAAGAGCAACAATCAATAAATGGGACCTCATGAAACTAAAAAGCTTCTGTAAAGCAAAGGACACTATCGTAGGAACAAAACAACTGCCTACAGTCATTGAATCTTTACCAACCCTATCTCTGACAGAGGGCTAATATCCAGAATATATGAAGAACTCAAGAAGTTAAACAGCAACAAATCAAGTAATCCAATAAAAAAAAATGGGGTACAGAGCTAAACAGAGAATTCTCAATAGAGGAATATCAAATGGCAGAGAAACACTTAAAGAAATGCTCAATGACATTAGTCTTCAGGGAACTGCAAATCAAAATGACCCTGAGATTTTACCTTACATCCATCAGAATGGCTAAGATCAAAAACTCAAGTGACAACACATGCTGGAGAGGTTGTGGAGAAAGGGGACCTCTCCTCCACTGCTGGTGGGAATGTAAACTTGTACAACCACTCTGGCGCTTTCTCAGACAGGTAGGAATAGGGCTTCCTCAAGATCCAGCTATACCACTCCTAGGCATATATCCAAAAGATGTTCAACAACATAAGGACATTTACTCAACCATGTTTATAACAGTTTTATTTATAATAGCCAGAAGTTGGAAACAACCCAGATGTCCCTTAGTTGTGGAATGGATACAGAAATTGTGGTACATCTACACAATGAAATATTACTCAGCAATAAAAAACAAGGAAATAATGAAATTTGGAAGTAAATTGTGGGAACTGGAAAAGATCATTCTGAGTGAGGTATCCCAGAAGCAGAAAGAAACACAGGGTATATACTCACTTGTAAGTGGATATTAGACATATAGGATAAACTTACTAAAATCTGTACACCTAAAGAAACTAATCAAGGAGGACTCTGGCTAAAATTCTCAATCCCCATTCAGAAAGGCAAAGAGGATGGATATCAGAAGAAGGAGAAAACAGGGAACAAAGTCAGTAGCCTGTCACAGGGGGCTTCTGAAAGGCTCTACCCTGCAGAGTATCAAAGCAGATGCTGAGACTTATGGCCAACTTTTGGGCAGAGTGCAGGGAATCTTATGAAAGAAGTGGAAAATAGTAAGACCTGGAGAGGACAGGATCTCCACAAGGATAGCAACAGAACCAAAATATCTGAGCAGAGGGTTGTTTTCTGAGACTGATATTCCAACCAAGGACCATGCATGGAGATAACCTAGAACAGAAGAAACCCATGGCAGTTCAGTGCCCAAGTAGGTTCCATAGTAATGGGAACAGGGACTGTCTCCCACATGAACTGATTGGCCTGCTCTTTGATCACCTTCCTATGAGTACGGAGCAGCCTTACCAGGCCACAGAGGAAGACAATGCAGCCACTCCTGATGAGACCTAATAGAGTAGGATCAGAAGGAAAAAAGGGAAGATCTCCCTATCAGTGGACTTGGGGAGGGGCATGGGTGGAGAAGGGGAAGGGAGGGATCTATGGTGGGTGATACAAAGTGAATAAAGTATAATTAATAAAAAAAGAAAAGAAATTAAATGTCTGTAGTCAGGTCTGTTAGGGCATGAAGAACTCTGTTGTGGGAGGATTAAACATTTAGAGTGTGCCTGAGCTACATAATGAGACCCTGTCTAAAGGTGGAAAAAAAAAAAAAAGAGGAAAACCAGTTCATACCTGTATTGAGATCAGGCACATTTGCTTTCTAGCAGCACATTCAATCCAGGTCAGTTGAATCTTCAGATGCAGAAACCACAGATGTGAAAGGCAACTGTATTTAATTTACAGTCGGCTTCCTACTTTCTGTGTTCTCAGTTGGTTTAATTATCTAATTAGTTTTTATACAGTCTTTCTTCTTGTTGGAAGTAATGTGCTTTTAAAAATTCTTTAATATCTATATTATCCGATGCACTCATTTGAGAAAAAATTAGGAAATTTAATTTGAAATTGAATTGTTCCCAAAGCCCGGATATATATATATATTTTTTCACTACCTTGCCATATGCCTCATTAACTACATGGAACTGAGAAAACAAACCCTCTTGGAGATGAGTGTTGGTCTCCAAGATAGCCTTGAATTCAAGCCAGAAAACTAGGTCTGCATGTATGCTCTTAGCACCAACTTCCTGTGATAGCCACTGGAGTAAGTTATCCCTTCATTTCTTGTTGGGCTCTCGAAAGAGAACAGTGCGGTCCTCCCTAGTTAGTATGCAGGAAGCTGTGGAGGTTAATTACATGTGAAATAATTTAAAAATTTTTAATTAAGTATATATGAAATTGACCCAAAATTCGCTATCACTGTGGCCAGAGTGGATGGCAGTTGTCCAAGTTTCAGAAAATGACTCTCAGTGCTGCGGCTTGGTTATAATAGAAGCATTTCAGTCAGGATTTCTAATAGTCTAAAAATATGAACAGTTTTTATACTTTGTGATTTCAAAACCCTTTCTCTCTCTCTCTTTCTTTTCTTTCTTTTTTTTTCTTTTTTTTTTTTTTTAAAAAACTATTTTAGAGGGAGAGCTGGAAGAAGAATGGCTCAAAGAGGCAGGTTTGTCCCATCTCTTCGGAGAGTCTGCCGAGGACCCGCAGGAAAGCATGGCGTTGTTATCCACACTGACCCGGACTCAGGCAGCGGCTGTTCAGAAACGAGTCGAAACGGTCTCCCAGACCCTGAGGAAGAAAAACAAACAGCACCACATTCCTGACGTCAGAGACATATTTGCTCAACAGAGAGAGGTGCAAGAAAAAGTAAGATTCTTTTCTGATATGAAGGCAAATGACGAAGTAGCTTAGACTCCTTTGGACCAATCCGGTTTAATTCAAATCATTATAGACTTAACCAGCACCTCCTTTCTGCTCCAGTGCCAAAACACGATGTTGGCAGCGAACCAACGTTCTTGAGTTTTGTCCTTCTAGAAGTTACCCAGTGAGACAAATGCCTAAGCAAGTCCAAATTCAGTGCAATAATTCTGTGCTAGGGAGAATGGAGTCTTCGAAATATTTAGATGTTCCTGTCACACCGCTGGGTATGACAGAGTGGTGGAGAAGGCCTTCTACACAGCCTGGTTGCCAGGTGTTTCTGATAGAAAAGCAGGCCCCAGGGGGTTATTTCTTGTCTATTGTTGCTGGAAGAAAATCTTTGAGCTTTCGACTCACTGAAGGATAGGTAGAAGTGCAACGTGACAACTGATGGCAGCTAACCCATGAGCTCAGGCCTTGAGAGGGAAGGAATGTCGTCTTTGTGTTTTGCCCCCTGCACCTGACATGGCATGTAGATTTGAGTTAAGACAAACCCAGATGGTCCATGTTTTCATGGAAGATGCTAAATTCTGCTGGAAACACAGGAGTGATAAATGAAGAGGTTTGGAGGGAGGTAGTTCAAATATTAGACCTGTGTGTCCCTGAGCAGGGGTAGGCAGCCTAGCCCATTATCAGAGCACTTGTTGCTTATCTGTGAGAAAATAAGGAGCTTGCACTCTATTGAAATGATCAGACTTAACTTTCATCAAGAAAGACTGGCCACGCACGACCAAAAAACAAACAAAAGAAAAAGACAGCTGAAGTAAATGGTGTTTTTTAAGAACACAGAAAATTTGCTTACCAGCCCCATCAGCTCTGGTTTAGAAAATTCAGTGAAAACACTGGGGAGGTAACACGAGAATTCTTGAGTAATGGTTATAGTGACAAGATTAATGGTAGCAATTGCTGCCACAGCTACTCTTACCTGCTTGGTCTCATTGATTCTATCCCCACAACTATTGTGAGTGAGGTGGTATAATTTCCATCCCATGGCTGAAGCTCATAGACTTTAAGTAACTAATTCAATGTCCTGTAGATTCTAACCCCAATTTTTGTGTGTTCATTCTCTCTTTTCTGCTGTATTTCCACTTCCAAACACGATCTGATATTAAGCAGTCTGAACTTGAGAATCCACTTATAGTATAAGCAAAGGGCAATAAAAAAAATTCATGATTCTTCATAAAAAGTGGAATGGGAGGGCTTATATTTAAGGCACTTTTGTTGTTATGGTGAGAGCTTTCACTATTGCAACTATTTTGCTCTTCTGAAAAAGATGAAGAAAAACAAAAACAAAAAACCACCTTTCTGTTGCAGGATGTTTCTTGGCTTGCATGGCCAGCTATGGGTCAACTTCAGCCCATTTATAGGAATCCTGGGGTCACTAGAATGCCCCAGGCACTTGTGTAAGTTCCATGCTTGTTTACTACCCAGTGGCTATTTGGGACATCTACCAGTGTTGAAGGATGGAACTAGGTTTCCAATTACAGAAAAATGAATAGTGAGGATATACAATATGACATTTCCTTCCTAATTAAAGAGCATGGCTTCCTCCCCAGCCCTGCCCTCTAGGAAAGCTCAAAGGAAGTGAAGAGCAGGAATGGGCTGAGAGCTGAATCTTAGCAAAATATGTGGTATGGGATTCCTGCTAGTATTGAGGACAATATTGCTACCTTGTGTTAGAAGAAACATTTCTTCAGCAAATTCCTGGAAAAGTCCAACCCATGTGGCTTTGAATCTAAGATAATTGGTAGCTTTCAGTATCTGCTGGTCTCATTAAAAGTGAAATGACACAAGTAAGTTAAGGTAATGTCTTCTTTGGCTGGATACTGTTAATTGAAATCCCATCATCCTTTAGAAGATGACTTTCCTCCTCCCAGCCTTTAAACATCCATCTTTGTGGTGCTTCTGTTCTGGGGTAAATGTATTTCAGCTTTTCCAGTGTCCATACTTAATCATGAAGCCTGTGCTGCTGACACCAGGAAATTTAATGCCTAAATGTATCCATCTGCAGGCCTATCTTCAATTACTAACGAAACAGTCTGACCACATACTCCAAACACATATCTATATGTGAGACTAGAACCCCTGGCTGTGTTCTCTGGGCCATGGAAGACCAACCCCCTGCAGACTTATAGGCAGAGGGAAGGAGAAGGTTGTATTGCAACCAACTAAGGTACACTTTTGGCCATGTCATGTGTCGCTTCTGTGACTTGTCATTGTCTTGAGTGCTATAGGTTTCTAACTCATGGGTTAATGACACACTGGCACCAGCCCTAGTGTTTCCTGTAAAACTGTGGGTGATGGAGAAGAGTCCCTGTGGAGAGCAGTCTGACGAGAGTTGCGCTGTGAGGAAAGTAGAGGGACTAGTTTCTGAATGTCGAGATGGAATCCTACATTCAGAAGAGCAATCGCTAAAAATAATTCATTCAAATAAGCCTCTTTGCATGGTTGGCCTTGACTCCCTTTCCTGACCCCAACAAACTCGTGTAGAGCTCTCTCTGGTGTCAGTCCTGAGTCACCATGTTTATCAACCCCCAAAGATAGCACCTAATCCCTTTATAGAAAGAAAAGAATTCCTTTCCACATGCCACTGCTTATTGCCAGTTTGGCAATTAGTTTCAATTTATCCTTTCAACATGTCTCTGCTTATTGTCAATTTGGCAATTAGTTTTAATTCATCTCACATTTCCTCTTTAAACAACTCATTTTGTGTGTGCACATTAGTATGTATGGGTGTGTGCAGATGTGCGGGAGGCCAGAGGTCAACCTTGTCTTCCTTAATCACTCCCCACCTTATTTTTGGAGGTAGAGCGTTTCACTGAAGCCCCAAGCTAACCAGTGTTGCTAGAATGCCTGGCTAGAAAGCCTGAGGAACCCACCTGTCTCTACCAGATGCTTACTGCCCTGCCCAGGCATTTGCATGCATGCTAGGTTTGAACTTCATGTTGGTGTAGCAATCACATTACTCTTCCAGCTATCTCACAGTTAAGATTGCCATTTATTTATTTATTTGTTGATTAGAAGCAAGCTTTCACCCTGTAGCCCGTTCTAGCCTTGAACCCATTCTATCACCAAGACTCGTCTCAAACTCATGAGAACCCTACTGCCTCCGTCTCCAGAGTGCTGGGAATGCAGGCATGCGCTACCGTACTTGGCTAGTCACTTTTTATTTTTTATGGGGTCTTTATTTTGCTTCTAACGTGTTAGCTGGTAGTTTTGTTTGATGATAGAATTGTTGAGCTAAAGTTCGCAAACCAAATGGTCACCTGATAAAGCATAGAACTCAATCTGGGAATGATGGCCTTCGTGATGCAGGCCGGATGACTGAACAGCAGTATCGGTCACAATAAGAACAGAAAAACCAAGTCATTTTTCTTGGCTGGTTTAGTCCCTGGTTAGCTGCCCCTGCTTTCGTAAATAATGCCCCCCCATGCTTATGCTGAAGACCTTAATTAAACTTTCCAAGTTACCCCTCCCCCCCAAATAGATGTGAAAGTAGGAAGGCACTTGTTTGGAACAAGGAAGGGTTCCATGAGAGTAAGCGGGGGATAAGAGAAGGTCAAAGGGGAGTATTGAATATGAGCAAAATATATGCATGTGTGAGTTTATAAAACAGTAAATATTTTAAAACCAATAACAAGAGAGGTTTATAATCCAGTGGTTTCTGCCATCATCACAGTCGACTCTAACACATTTTTTTTTAATCACATACCTCACAAAGCTCATATCCATAGACAGTTACTTTGCTTATTGTCCTGAATACTTGGGAAAACATGGATCTCTGGGTCTGTGTGATTTGCCTGTCCTGTACTTTTCATGTAAATGGAACCATAATGTTTATGGTTCTTTGTGTGATTGTTCCTTTCATGTAGCATAATGTTTTCAGAGTTCATTCATGTTGAAGCATGTTTTCGAACTTTTAGTTTTGTTTTATTTTGCTGCTAAATACTATGTCATGGTCTAAGTAAACTATACATATCCATCACTTATCGCTGGATATTGCTAACATTTCTTCATCTAGATATAGGTGTTTCAGTTAACAGGGACACTCTTGACATCTTTCCTGTTCCCAGTTGTACGTGGTGTGTGTCTCACTGTTATGAGTAATCCCTTGCTTGTTAGATGATTGTCTATTGATTATAACCATGGCATTTTGTTTCCTTACTGTGACTTTATAAGTCTGAGTACATTTCTTGTTCTCTGAAGGTTATAATGGAATTACGTACAACACCGTTTTCTCTAGTTGTGAGTTGGACATGACTAAGTGGCTCCTTTTCTGTGTTTAGTCTCCAGATGGCCCAGAATTGCAGCCAGTCGGAACAAATGAAAACAAATGCCAAGGAAAAGACGGTATGTCAGACCTCTGCTCTTGATCGTCCTTTAATTACTATAATGAACAGTTGTAACTCTAACATATTACCTTCAATTCTACTAAGCAACTTCTATTAAAATACTAAATGGAAGGTCAACCTAGATCAGTGAGTGATTCTGAACAGAGTTGGCCCTTTATCATTTTATGTGTATCTTCATCTGATCTAAATTTAATATACATCTTCATGAATGTTTATCATAACCAAAGTGGCACACCGAGCTTTTTGGTTCATTCAGTACCCTCAAGAATTCTACCTGGTTGGTACTGCTTTCAATCCATTTTATAGAAGGGAGAACTGAGGGTTAGAATCAGGAAGTCATGTTCCCTACACCACGCCTCCGGGATGTGAAGTTACATACATCTGTGAACCATAAGCTCCAAATTCCTAAATGGTTTCATCTTTAGAAATTTTAGAGAAGCCTGTAAGAACTAGAGATTTTTTTTGAAACTGATTGTAATTCTCCCTTTCATGTACTTTTCACATTTAACATCTATTTCACGGACGAATTAGAAATTAAAATGAACACAAAGATTCTGTTAAGCACCGCTAAGAAAAGTTTCACAGATACAGTGTTTACAAGAAGGAAAATGTTCTTAGTTCAGCTTAAGAAGTTAGTTCTCTAGTTACTTAACTAACACTGACATGGCTGAGCTGTGCATTTCTGGTTCCAGGTATTAAAATCTGAGGCATCTGTACATGATAGTGTTCCTTGGGCTTTGAAGTAGCAGAGGCAAGGTGTGGCAGAGAAACTAGAAGGCATACAGCCTTCCCCTGGAAATCTCCCATTAGGACAATGCTGTAGGGGAAGTTTTAGAAAACTGAGAGCATAGATCGTCTTTGTTTGTTCAGAATTTTCTCAGTACTTCTCTCCTGTACCCCTTCCTAAAAGATACAGGCAGGAAATATACACGTGTATATTAACATCATGAGTCTGAGCACACATAGATACATATGTGAACATCACAAGTCTGAACATACACACATGTATATGAACACTAAGTTTGAGTACACATACATACATATATGAACATCATAAGTCTGAGTACAAACACACACACACACACACACACACACACACACAAACACTTTTCTTCTGTGGGGGCCTCTGTAGCCACATGTGTTCTGTCAGAATGAACTGTTTCATATTTCCCCATGACTGTGTGCCAGCAGACGCTGAAGTGGCAAGCAGACTGTCAGTGCCAGCCTTAGCCTGCTGGAGAGCTGGGTCCTCAGAGAGAGAGATGAATCTTTTGTGCCAGTGTCAATATGCTTTGGGGAAGAGTGACTGCCAGTTGTTTAACAGATATTGAGGAAATGGTCTCTTTATCATGTTTTCTTCTCTTGCCAGACATTGTACTGTAGGCTATATCAACAAAGGTTCTATGAGACAAGTTCGTTTTATGAGCACTTTCAGACCGAGACTACAGTGGGTAAGGGAAATGTTGACAGACTTTGTGGCCTGATGTATAGCTATATCCACTGGAAGGCTAGCAGCTGGGATAAGCCTGCCAGAGTAGTCACCCAGTAGCTGCCACTGCACCCGTCTGGGTGGTGCTTAGCAGTGAACCAATGGTGTTTTGAATACATCTTGAACAGAGAAAGAAATTGTCCCAGCTTTCTGTTTGTTTTTGTTGCTGTAATGAAACACAAGTCAAAGCAGTTTGAGGGAAGAAATAGTTCGTTTGGCTCACCTGTTCATCATCCTTGGAAGCCAAGACAGGGTCTCTAAACAGCAACCATATTGTAAAGCGCTTTGGGATCTACCCCCAGGTCTGAAGCTACACTTCTTTTTTCTTTTTTAGTTGTTTACTTTGATGTGCATTGGTGTTTTACCTGCATGTGTCTCTGTATGAGAGTGTCAGATCTTAGAGTTACAGATAGTTGTGAGCCGCCATGTGGGTGCTTAGAATTGAACCTGGGTCCTCTGGAAGAACAGTCCGTGCTCTTAACCTCTGAGCCAAAGCTGGCTTTCTTATGCAACTTGGGGACATGTGTGGAGAGATTGCACAGCTAACAGCAGGCAGAATCCTCGTACAGCAATTAGCAGTTAAGGAAACACCCCCACAGACTTTCCCCCTGCCAGTCTGATGGAGGCAATTCCTCAAGTCAGGCTTCCTCTCCCCAAGTGTATTAAGTTGACAATAAGGTTAGCCATTACCGGCATGCATGGACACATTATCTGGAGCTTCTGTAAAGCGAGGCTGGTTCTGGTCTAACCTAAATGTTCTCCTCATATTTGAGTTCTTATTTCATTTAGAACTATGTATTCTGGAGCTGAAGAGATGGCTCAGCTGTTGAGAGCACTCGGGCTCCATTCACAGCAGCCACAACCACATAACCTCTAACATCCCCAACACCTGTGACCTATAACCAGGGACTCTTAACAGAGACTCTTCCAGTCTCTTCTGGGCACTGCACGCATGTGATACACAGACATAGTATACAAAACAGCAGGGCACATGAATTTAAAAAAAATAGACATTAAAAATGTCAGATTAAAAATAAGAGACTGAATATTGCAAGTATTGTCACATTTCACATAAATCCAGATTCTTCCCTCTTCAGAAACTATACAACTCTATGAAAGGTGCAGTTTATGAATGTGAATTAGAAATATTATTATACTAATTTTATTGGAAATATTATTATCCTAATAATTTAAAACTTTTTAGGATATGTGTATTTTTAGTTATGGGTTCCATGAGAGAAGAAAAGTTTTTTGTTTGTTTGTTTGTTTGTTTTTTTGTTTTGTTTTGTTTTTGTTTTTGTGGACGGAGTTTCTCTGTGTAGGCTGGCTGTCCCGGACTTGCTTTGTAGAACAGGTTGGAACTGAACTCACAGAGATCTGCTTGCCTCTGCTTCTCTGAATGCTGGGATTAAGTGGTGCACCACCACTACCCAGTTATTGTTGTTTGTTTGTTTTTGTTTTTTATTTTTCGAGACAGGGTTTCTCTGTGCTGGACTTGCTTTGTAGACCAGGCTGGCCTCAAACTGATGGAGATTTACCTGCTTTTGCCTCCCTGAGTGCTGGGGTCACACAGGAAAGTATTTTAAAAATAAAGATATTTCTGTATCTGGACAATTTTTTTTTGAACAATTTTTTTTAAAAGTAATTATGTAGCCTGGACCTGTTGACTTCTTCAAGATCAGAAGGGCTAGAGAGATGATCCAGTCACTGAAGTGCTTGCAAGTAAAATGCTTGCCCTGTAAGCATATAAAGATTTGGGTATGATTCCCACAACTCATGTGAACAAGCTTGTTTTCCCTCACATACATATGTATGAGTCCAAGTGCACAAATGAATGCACACAGAAACACACACACACACACACACACAAATGCATGCACACACACATGCACACAGAAACACACCCATATACATAAACACATGTGCACACACAAACACACAACACACATACACAAATGCCGAAAGAGAGAAATAGATTAAAGAAATTATTTACAGCTGTAGATTTAACACGTAAAGAATTTGCCTCAATATTTTACTTTACCTCCTCTGTGCGAAAATGACAGGTCCATCGTTTTTCTTAGGCAGCCTATGGTCTGTCTCCCAGCAGCGGCCATGGCCCCCTGCAGTTGCTCTCTCTCCCCCTGGCCTAAACTTGATGTCACATTTGGACGGAAGTCTGTGCCTTTTGTACTTTTTTGTTCTTGTAGCCACGTTTTCTGGAGGAAACCAATTTGTTTTAAGTGTGTTCTGAATGACACAGTTTTGGATTCCATTCAGCATATTTATTGGAGTATGCATGAGGGGGATATTATTGTAACTGACATTGGAGCACTGAAGAGAATCATTTTTAAATTCCCGTCCACTGCCATCCAGCAGCTGAAAGTAGCTTCTAATTTACAAAAATGGCCAATCATTTTTTTTCTTATTGAATGGTTTCCTAGGAAACCAATAATGTATTCACAGAAAAAAAAAAAGTATAACCATATGAACTAATGGGAAAAATAAAATTAATTTTTGTTTTGACATTTATGATAATACTTTAAAAAATTAATCATAAAAGTTATTAGGTATTCTACTTAAAACTGTCTCAGACTGTTGAAAAACACAAATTTAACATAGATGGGAACAGATTATACCATCACTGAGCTTTTCAATTCGTGTTTTACTTGGGGGTTTGACAGAGGTACATGTTTGCTGGCTTGCCTAACTGGGAGGCTGCCTGAGAGGCAGCTGGCTCACACGTCTAGGCTTTCTGTAGGTTTCAGTTTGGCTAGAGAAGCATGAGAACAAAGGCAAGACCATTCCACGCTGAGCCCCCCTTGATACCTCGGTGCCACACGCTCACCAAGTGGGAACGGATGAGACTGGGCTCGTATTTAATCCTTAATTTTATCCTGATTAAAGCAAAAGGGCTTTTATTTTCTATTAAGCGATGACAAAAATAAAATAAAACAAACAAACAACTCTTCAGAGCAGTAGTCCTCTGGGTTTCTGACATGTTCTTATTAGAGCTTTAAAATTAACTTCCCCTTGTGTCACTTTGTTTCACAACGTGCAATATTAGTAGAAAAACACAGGAAGCAGCATTTTTGTTTTACTTTTGTTTGTTTGAGACAAGGTTTCCTTTTGCTCAGTCAGGGATGTAAACCACTATTTGGGTGGGAAGCATGCACCGCCGCAGGTGTCCATTTATTTATTTACTCTGGGTCTATTTATTTCGTTAAGTTTATTTACTATTATAAATTATTTCTTTCTTGTGTATGTTTACTGTTGTGCATATGTAAGGGGTGTGTGCAGGTGTGCATTTGCTATGGTGCACATGTCGAGGTTAAACGGTGATGGTTCAAGTTGGTTCTCTCTTCCCAGGAATACAGCTCCGGCTGTGAAGCTTGTGTGGCAATGCCTTTTACCCTCTGAGCCACCTTGCCAGCCTTATTTTTGCTTTTGGAGACAGACTGTTATAAGCCCCTATTGTGCCCGAAGCCACTGTGTAGTTGAAGATGACCTTGAACTCCTGATTTCTTAGCTTACCTAAGTGCCCAATTCACAGGGACGGGCCACCATGCCAAGACTGTCCCTTTTTCAGTTCACAGCATCTTATGACAGATCAATGGCCAGCAGTGAAAAGCAATCCCAGTGTTCCTGCCAGTGTCTTTCTAAAGTGAGATCTACGGAAGCCAAAAATTTACCAAAGAAATTTGGAAGTGTTTTCTTCTATTCTGGTAGCTCTTGTTTTTAATCAAAGAAAATGTTCAACATTAATTATTTCCTAGAGGATCAGCAGCAGACAAAATAAAAAAAGCCCAAACAAAACGTAGAAATGCTGACGCAAACACCACAGCTTATTTGACTCATGCTGGAAGGGACCTTTAGTTTCTTCGATAGAAACAGGTGTGAAGCCAGGTTCTTGTACCAGGTGCCTCCAGATCCGACTTCCATAGTGACAAGTTGTTGGCATCAGCTGCTGTTGTGGAATTTTCACCCTGGTACATGGGTAACATTCTGGAACATTCCAGGGTGTGGAGGAGGTCTGCCCTGGAGGCATTCCACTCTGAGGAAGTTAAAGGAAAGGCACGAGATTACAGGCAGGCCCTCCTCTCACTCTGCTGCTTTAGTTCCTCAGTGCAGAACAAAAGAGTGTGTGCATCCACTAAACTTTACCATTGAGCTTGATGCCTTCCAGTAGGCTGTAGAATTCACACCCAGTCTAAAGACTGTGACCACAAAGAATCCACAGTTAAACCCTCACTTACCAGCCACCGCGTCTCCCAACTTTTACTCCATAAGCCACTGGTACAATTCCTTGAGTAAACATTATTAAAAGAACATTCAGTTGTTGCCTAGAGTAATGAATATTCTTCCCACAGGTGTGGTAAATATATTAGAAGGTTTCTGAAAGTGAAAGACTTGCAGTTGGAGTGTCTTTTCTTTTTCTCTCTCTCTCCTAGAAAAGGCATCTAGTGGGCCTGTTGATAACAAGGAGCTGAGCCCACCAATGCGTGAGGACACACCTGCCTCTGAGACAGCCATCAACCTGGAGGTGTCATTTGCCGAGCAAGCTGACAATCAGAAAGAGCTCAGTAAGGAGAGGACGCAGAAGATCAGAGGCAATGATGCCTCTTTGCCAGTATGTAATACCCATAATGTAATGCCTCAAGAAGAATTTCTTTTGAACCAGCTTTGCATTTTTAAAATTTAGAACCCACAGAAATGTTGAAGGCACAGCATAGCAAGTTGCCATCAAGAGTTGATTCAACAGTTATTAATATGTTTCTAACCTTTCTTTTTGTATCTGTCTATCTGTATACAGTATTTTAACAGATACACACTCACTTTGTATTTTGAGGTTTTTCAAGGACATTCAAAATAAAGTTGGGTCTGGAGAGATGGCTCAGTGATTAAGAACACTGGCTGTTCTTTGTGGACCAGGTTTCGATTCCCAGCACCCACATGAAGGCTCACAGTCATGTGTAACCCCAGTTTCAAGGGATCTGATTTCCTCTTCTCATATCTGTGGGCACCAGGTAGACATGCGGTAGGGTACACAGACAAAGGCAGGCAAAACACCAATATCCACATAAAAATAAGTATTAATAAGAAATAAAAATGAAAGTTTTTGAGATGTTAAAAGTTAGATACTAAGGTTATAATTAATATTTAACAAAAAGTCATGTAAACATTGGCAGTTTTCACAGACTGTCCTCATAGCTTCTCCCTTCTGCACGCCCTGTTGAGATTTGAACAGGGAGTACACATTGCATTGGTTTCCTTATCTTTCTGGGTTCCTTGAATTGAGATTTCTCCTTTTGCATTTGATTATTTTTATAGAGTTCTTAACATTGAAAATATTGTGTGATCATTTCATCATGAATAGATACAAGTTGAACATTAAACCAAAACCATTATGCCTCTGGAGCGATACAGGCCACTCATGTCACCAAGTTGGCTAAAGAGATGCTCCCAAGTTCTCATGCTGTGAGGATGCTCTTCTTATCTCAAATTTATACTCAATCCTATCTTGTAACTTAATGTGTTATAGTGAAGTGTCCATTTTATCTTTTTCTGGAACAATAATTATTAAGCCAGACTTTGAGAAACATCGATTTTTCTAATCCTATTGTCCTTTCTATATTAATTGGTATGCCCTAGCAATCGGTTGCTGGCCTTCTCTTTTCAGCTCTGCACTTCATTGCAGACCTTCTGTAGACCCTTTTCATTAAGCATTTTTGTAGATGTTATAATTTGTCTTTGTTGGTCTGAGTTACACAGACTTGGCCACCTTGCCCAGTGGGGCCCTGCAGCTGGTTCCTACGTTTCATTGTGCCTTCCTCATCCTTTCTCGCCTGCATTCTGTGGTACAGGACATTCCAGGCTCACCTTGTCATTTTCTCCCTCTTGGACATGAAAGCAGCTGGTTCTTAAAGAAACTGGTTCCTTTTAGCAACAAATAGTACTTGAGACCAGGGCCTTCTGTACAAAGCGTTCTCTCTGCGCTGTGAGTGCCTTGTGTTTTTGCATCCATTTGAAAGCAAAAGGTAAAAAGAGTAATATAACAAACTTGTAAATTCTCACCACAGAGCCACAGCCCTCATTAATGGTAGTTCTGACACCTCTGTAACTCTCTACTCTCCTTGTCTGTGTTACTTTGAAACACGTGTCTGAATTTTGGTTATCATCTGTAAAGGTTTGTAGTGCTAAACGCAAAACAACAGCAGAGGTTTTAAAAACTGCATACCCATGTTATCACTACTGTAACTTTAAAATTATCATGACTGTTTCTGAAGATTGAGAGCCCTGCTCCACATAAAATCCACTGAATGTGGTTGATATGACATCGAGACTATCCCTCTTTCCCGCACTTTCTCCTGTCCTTCCATTCCTCTATTTTCCCCTTTTGCTTTCCCATTTACTTTAAAAATCTTTCTCTCTCCCTCCCTCTCTCTGTCTCTGTCTCCCACTCTTGTTTTATTTGTAATTTCCTTCCCAACTATCTTTTGTTGTCCCGTGATCCCTCACTTCTTCAAAGTTAAGGTAAATAGTTATTTACCTAGGTAAATACTAGTTATTTCGTTTGTTTTTTGTGATGTGGGTTTGCATGTTGAATGTGTGTATGTGTACCAGTGGATGAATATGCATGCAGAGGCCTAAAAGTAAACAGTAGGAACCTTTTCATTTTTTTTTTTTTTAAACAGGGTATCTCTGTGCAGTCCTGGCCATACTGGAACTCACTCTGTAGATGAGGCTAGCCTTGACCTCAGATTTTCCTGCCCCTGCCTCCCGCAGTGCTGGGATTAAGGCTGTGCACCATCACTGCCTGTTCAAAATCCTTTTAGGTCCCTCTTTCACCTTAGTTATTGCTGCTACTGGATCTTTAAGTCAAACCTATGGCTTCAAGAAGCAGCTAATCTGGCTAGCCATCTTGCTGGGAGGACCCCCTGTGTCTGCCTTCAGAGGCTTGGATCACAAGCAAGCCCTCATGCACACCCAGGAATTCTCTGGTCCTCTCTTTGGTTCAGCAAGTGCTTTCACTGCTGCACTGTCTCCTAGCCCTGTTCTCCAAAGTTTATTGAAAGAGCCTTGTTGTGAATTCAGGTGATTCTCACTCTCTGACCGTTCTGTCCCATAGTATGGGTGTGTATCTTTAATAGGTTTATAAACTAGTTGACATCAGTTGCACTGGATTTGAGCTCCTGGGTCTGATGTGGTCTAGCTACTTTAGATCTGTGGTCATGTGTTCTCTACTGGGAATTATCTGGATATCATCTTTTGTGTAATTAGCTATGGTTCAGAGCCATACCTGACTCCATTAATTTATTAATGATCCAAAAGGATGAGGTTCTAATGTTTTCTTCTTTTTCATTTATTATTGTGGATGGTTTCTTTAAGAAAGCAATTATCAAGATGATTACTTTTCCCATTTGTACAAGTTTTTACTTTTACTTTTTGATTCTTTGCCATCTTTATCAGTGACCAATCCATGTCTGTCTGTTTATAAAAATGGCATCATAACCCATGGGTTCATACATGTTTAATGATAGCATAGGAAAATCTCTCCAGGCTTATAGCATATTTTCTGCTCAAAACTTAAAAGCGTCTCTATTTGCAAGCATCCCTACTTCCATTTAGTAGAAGTAAAGAGTTCTGCCTGTGGCCAGGATATTAGTAGCATGCAGTTCTCTGGGCTGGTCATCACTTGAGAGCCCTCTTTAGTGGAGATGTAGGTTTTTATCTTCCTTCTTTCTTGCTGAGTAGTATAGTTCTTAGGAAATGGAAGGAGGCAATGCTTCCACCGTCAGAAACACCCTCCTTTGTTTTATTACTCTGCATTAATACGTAACATTCTCAGAAGGCCAGCGCTGACCACGCTCAGTGTGAGTGCTTCAGAATGATTTAAACTTCCTTTTCTCCAGCCATTTGTGTCCTTGGGGTATATCCCAAAGCGGGCCGTGATACAGTGAAGTTCCTGAGCTGTGTGGGGGTTATTTTCCATGTGGTTAAGCCACTGACCGAATATCTCTCTCTCTCCATTTTAAAAGGTTGCTTTTTTTTTTCAAATATTATTTTATTTTGTGATAGTATACAATAGTTATGACCCAAAAGGCAAATACAAATCAAAGTAAAATAAGTAGCTTTTATCTTTGACTGGCCACCTTGACTGACCCTCCTTTTAGAGAACCTTTATTGATTTTATTATTTTAAAATATTTGTCTATGTTTTGTGATGAGTGTTTCACACACATGAATGTATACACAGTATATGTGTGCCTGGTGCCCATACAGGTCAGCGAGAATGTCGAAATTCCTCCGAGCTGGAGTTACACATGGCCGTGAACCACCATGTGCGTGCTGGAACCAAACCTACAACCTACATCCTTTGCAAGAGCAGCAATTACTCCTAACCAGAGCCATCTCTCTAGGCCTCGGGAGCCCTTTTATTTTAATATTTTGTTTTTATATATCTGCTTTCCCACAAATATTAGCCCTTGCACACATTTTTCTCCATCTTGGCTTCACTTTATTTTGTCTTAACTGTTCTTCAGAGATCCTAACATCATAATGCAAAGACGTACTTCCCATGTCTTTTTGTGGATGTACTGTTCTCCACCATGAGGCTGCACTGTGATGTTTTTGAAGTAGTCCTTAGTGATCGACATCTGGTAATTTCTAAGCTTTCTCAAACATTTTGCGGGATCTGTTTTCATTGCCTAATAGGGAAAGTAAAGGAGTTTTCAAAGTTTGGCCTAAAACAATGATCCCTACCCCCAGATTCACCTTAAGAAGAGTAAATTTCTCAGTGTGTGATGGTCCTTGTCACAGAAGACGGAAAACCCTGAAGCTACCATAGGGAAAGACTAAAGAAAGTTTATTTAAAATAAAGGTGTTATTGATTCTTAAATTGTCATCTCAAACAACAAAATAAAATATAATTAATATCTTTTTGAGGGTTTTAGAAAACTCAGTCTACCATTTATTATTATTATTATTATTATTATTATTATTATTATTATTACCAAGTTAATTTGTGTTGGACTACCTTCTGGATTTTGTTTCTGCCGTGGCCAAGTTATAAAATAACTTTTCTTTGTCTACCTTCTGCAGTTCCATGCTTACCCAGACACTTTAGTCTGCCTTGTGAACACTCAGTTTTGCTTGGCTTCTAACTCTATAAAATATTTGAAAGTGCTCTTTCAGTGATCAGTACCATACTTTCCGTGACTGTCAGTCATCTACATTTATACCTGTTCATGTCCGTAACCACGGCTCAGAAATGCTTTCTATGTGTGGCCATGTTGTATAGTTCCCACACATTCTTAACATTGTTATTGAAGTGACTACTTGCTGGGGCCACTCAGAAGCAGGCACCAAAACAGGTAGAACCGTAAATTCCAATTTGTCGCTACACTTCTCTTTCCCTGTAAATAAACAGTGGGATTTATGTAATGAGGCACTCTCTGGTGACCTCATTTCTCACTCCCTTTTGAGGCAGCACTGAGCAGTCTTTGTAGACTCTTTGTGGTCTCACAGCAGACCCTCATTTCTTCTCTCACATTTGGAGATCCCACTTAATATCTTTGAAGGTGCAGCCATTTACGAACTTACCTGCTACACGCTTTATACACATGGTGCCTAGTCCAGAAGTGATGCTCTGTAATTGCCACTCGTTTCTAGAGTGACCTCTGTGAGGCAGATACTAGTTTTTAAATTTGCAGAGAAGTCAGATGATGAAGCATGCTGGGGCCTACTCTCTGAGCCACTTCTGCTTTTGAGTTCCGACTTAAGGCTAGAGTGGGGGTGGTTGGTGAGTGAAGGATTTGCATGGGGCATTACTAGTCAAGTCCCTGAGACACCTCCACCACCTGCTGTCCTTTACAGCCGAACGGTTCATCTGGGACAAGCTACCACACTAATTTATGTTGTGCAGAATCCCTAGCAACCTTATACATTCCGGAAATTTTTCTCTTTTATTTCTTTTTTTTTTTTTTTTTTTTTTTACAAAAAACAAACAACAAAAAAACAAAACAAAAAAAACCCTTTACTCTTCTTGAAACTTAACTTCTTTCTCTTAGCCAAGGGACCAAACCATCCGGTCTACTGAACGCTCTCTCCTTTCTTTCTTTCTTTTTTTTTTTTCTCTCTGTCTCTCTCTCACACACATACAGACACAAATAAAATGACAGGAAACTTCATAAATATTTAAAACAACTGCTATGAATTAAACATTGAGATAAAGAACCAACTCCTTTATTAAGCACAATGTTTAAATAAATAAATAAACAAGCCTGTGACATATATTGCTAGGTAAATGAAATGTTTGTACTAATCACATTTCAGGTTTCTCTAAACATTTACCTTTAGTAATACTTTCATGTAATTATATTACATGGCTTATTAGACCCAGAGCAACTGATTTTAATGAAACACTTGAACTGCTGTTTCTTAAGCATGTAAATGGGTAGATATGGTTGGTTCAGCGGCTCTAAAAACAAAGCCATTAACAGAAGTACAGAGCCATGTGTGAGAGAAATGGGACATGCTTTTTCTGGGTTTGAGAAGAAAAGCTCAGGGCTTCTGTTGTGGCTCAGGGACAGGTGTTGGCCCAACATTGGGTACCAAGCCCAAAATTGTCTTTAATAAATGAAAGCTCAGGAGATATGACAAGTCATCAGAGACCATGGAAGAACATGGGAAGAGTGGATGTCTAAAAATCCTAGCACTTGGCAGGAGGAGGCAGGAGGATTTTGAATGTGTGTTCTGTCTGGACTGCAAAGGAAGACTCTGTCTCAAAAAACAACAGAACAACACTGGTGAAATAGCTTTGCTGTGGTCATCCTGTCATCTGTGTGGGGTATGTCTTCATTCTCATCCTAGACTGTAGCAGAGCACCTGAACCATGGCAAAGTACAGACACACTGGGGCTGGAAAAGTGATCGCCATGTGGCCCTGCCCTTGAGGGTCTCACTGTCCTCCATCAATCTAGACTGTCCTTACCTGCCTGGTGGGTAAGGAGGTGGAGTAGAAGAGCAAAGCTGCCTGAAGGTGCAGCGATTGACGCCGTTGACTATGTGGTCATGCTCAAAGCTTTCTGAAAGCCTGTTTGCCCCACCTAGAATATGCACGATTCTTACATAGTGGAACCTTTTACACAATATATTGAGATGCCATTCATCAAATATGAGTATTGATCCTTTTTCTTTCCTTTTCATACCATGCAGGAACAACCAAACCAAAACAAACAACAAACAAACAAACATTTTCAAATGATTTTTTTTTTGGGGGGTGGAGTACTGGAGGATGTTGAGATAGGGTTTCTCTGTGTAGCCTTGGCTGTCCTAGACTTGTGCTCTAGACCAGGCTGGCCTCGAACTCATGGAGATCTGCCTGCCTCCGCCTCCTGAGTGCTGGGATTACGGGTTGTGCCACCATGCCTGGCTTTCAAATGAAATGATAGGGCAATAGATTAGGCATGTGGGCATGAGTCTGCATCTCAGACTTTGATGGAGAGGGCCGGGAGAATCTGAAGTTAAACGCCGGTCTTGGCTACATGGTGTAAAAAACTCCCATATATTTGGTGCAAATATAGTGTGTACGCGCGGGCCTATTTACTACTCTCTGAGCGCTTACATGGATTCATGGATTGTTGGATTCTAACCCCCTTGAGGGAGGGTGGTAGGATCTCTGGCATTTCTACATCATTTTACAGACGAAGGACTAAGGAATAGAGGTGGCATTATGTTCTTTCTCTCTCTCTCTCTCTCTCTCTCTCTCTCTCTCTCTCTCTCCACTCTACATCCAGTCAACCTCCTGCCTATCCGTCCCTCCTTTCCTTCCTCCCTTCCACCCCTCCTTCTGTTTCCTGGCTGCTAGGGATGAGTTTGACCACCGTGCCCTCCCTCCCACTGCTACGGACTGAAACCATGATTGTAAATAAACTTTCTCCCTTAAGTTGTGTTTTCGCAAGAATTTATCACAGCGATGAAAACCTAACCCCACTCCTAACTGACTGAGACAGCCTGTACCCCCTGCCGTACACTCTCTGCTCCGTGTTACACCCTGAAGGCCAAATGAATGGATAATTAAAATGCACTTCAAGTCCCCCATCCATGATACCCATCCCTAGTGTTTTGCTTAATATTCTCAGAGAAAAGCTCATTACCAGAAGTTCAGAAAAACACCTTTCCTTTTTTTGGTGGATACTCACTCTCTTGAGAGTTGAGGTTAGTGTACTCGAGAGGCGACCCAGCCAAGCATAGGAAACACATGCTTGTTATCCCAGCACTTGGAGAGGCAGAGACACGAGGATCTCTGTGAGTTCGAGGCCAGCCAGGTTTACAACATGAGTTCAGGACAACCAAGGGTACACAGAGAAACCCTGTCAGGGTTTTAAAAAAAAAAGAAAAAAAAGGATACACAATCTCCAAAAGTTACTGATGTTTTACAGACTACCTCTATGCTCTACTAGGAAATGTTCTCTCAAACATTTATGGTCTTATAATTTAATTATGGTCGTAAAGTGATTTAAGACCTCAAAATCTTTTATGTACATTGGTTGACCTATGGATACATGTAATTTTTAGAGACAGAGTCTTACTTTGTCGTTAGGCTGCCCTGAAATTCACTATGTAACTTGTGTTGCGCCCCCCACCAAACACAGAGCAATCATCCTGCCTCAGCCTTCTGAGTACTGGGGTTAAAACATGTGAACCGCTGTGTTTTGCTACTCTGTGGCTATTTATTAGATAAGAAGTTAGGGTTGCAGTGTGGAACTATAGCTTAGTAACAGACTGCTGGGTAAACATCCTTGCCAAGCATGCACAGGATGCCAGTTTTAATTGTCAATATGCAAAAAAATAAAATAAAAATAAAAAAGAAAGAAATAAAGGGAAATGAACCATGTTTGGTTTCTAGCACCAGAAAACATCTTCAGTTAAAAATAAAATAAAACATTAAGGTTCACTATTATTGGCATACAAACCCCTTTAAATACGAAAACAACTCTTTTTGCTTCTGTTTGTAAGAATATACCTGCCCTTTATTTCTAGAAAAGTCCACTGTACTCTCATAAGAGAGTGAGATTAGAAAAGAAAAAAAAATATGTCTTAGTATCCTTATTAAAGTTAACTTTTGACTCATAAGCTTGACCTCTTGGACTAGCTGGTACCCACAAGATTCCCTGGACTGCACTTTGAGGAAGGATGCTTGAGAGGAAGCGTTGATTGTCCTTAGCAGCTTAATGAAGGAATTCAGGGCAAGCCCCTAAAGAAAGTCTAGATGACATGGGTGAATCACAGGTCTGTAAGTGGTGTATCTGTTATGTGGTGTGTCTTCCTCAAACTTTATCTAATGACTTAGCCTCCTTTATTATTAAACACATTATATATAAGAAACAAGGCACAAAATTAACAAACTTCTCTAGCATATTTAATCCAAATTACAGCCCTGCCGTGTTTACTGACCAATGATCATTCACCGAAAGGGGCTAGATACTGATAAACTTTTAGTTAATCTCTATTTACTTATTTGTTTGCTTGCTTGCTTATTTATTATTTATTTATTTTAGAGTTTCAGGCTACCAAAAGATAAAACAGGTACTACGAGGATTGGAGATTTGGCACCCCAAGACATGAAGAAAGTTTGCTTTCTTGCTCTGATTGAACTGACTGCCTTGTATGATGTATTGGGCATTGAACTCAAACAACAGAAAGCTGTGAAAATCAAAACAAAAGGTAAAGTTAGATTTGGTTCCTAAGTAGCAAAACTGGAGTTGGCTCTTGGGTGGTATTCTTGGAAGTAGGATGGAAAACAATTCAAATAACCCGAGACTTAAGGACATTCGGAGTTTCAGTTCTCAGTTACTTTTTATAAATTGATAAAACAGAGAACACACAACCAAATAATGTAGCTCTCATAGAAGGGAATTGTAATTTTAAGAACTCCTGATGCTCACGGTTTCCTCTTTAGAAAACTGTATGTCTGAGAGAGAGAGATGTTTTGGGTAAGCATGTTTTATTTCCAAAAGCAGACCTTAAAAGTTGGCTTTCGAGGTCCGGCTGTTGAGTAATTACTTTTGTTATTCCGTGATGACACGTGGGTTGGCTAACAGGCCGTCCCTGTGTTCACTGACAGTCCGTTTTTTACATTTAAATGTAACTTCTTATCATGTGCTTGTAATGTCCATGTGAGTGTGGCCGTACAAGCGCCACAGTGTGTGGATGGGGGTCAGAGGACAACTCCTGTGAGTCATTTTTTGCCTTCCACTGTGGGTTTCCGGGATGGAACTCTGGTTTTCCAACTTACATGGTAAGCCCTTTGACCTGATGAGCATCTCACTGACCCCACACTGTATTTTTTAAAAGTATTTGGCAAAATATTCTTTTCTCTGTAAAGAAAGCAATGCCACTGTGGGATGGAGTGTCACTACATTGTGCTCACTCTCCACGTGGCATCTTGATATTGTAAGAAGCTTGCTTATCTATTACATCAACAGGCTAATTCTGATAACCTGATGAAGAGCAGACACCATTCTTCCTTGTTTCTCTTTGTTTCTTGGTCTGGAAATGCAGGTAATTCTCTAGTGACAAAGATTTCCTGTTTAGGAATCTCTATCCTCTTGTTTAACCTCACAGGTGTCTCCTAAGGAGGCCCTAGGAATGAGGATTATTGAGTTGCTATGGTAACATGAGCCAAGAAAATTATGTACCTGATTTAAGCTGTAGAGACAGTTTTTCTGTAGGACTGAAGTGTACCTTTCCTGTTTTGCCTGTGTGTCTCTGTCATGGTGACACTAAAGACCCTATTCTGTGCTCAGTTCTTTAAAGTATGTTAGTTTAAGGCTTGCAGTGGTGAATTTCTGAGTTTATTGTTTCCCCCAAAGTTCTTATAAAGAATGAAGACTTCAGATGCTTCTGTCAAAACTCATCATAAGACTTTCTTCAATTATAAAGTAGGAATATAGTTTGAATAGCTATGACTATATGCCCAAGACTTTAAAGTGGCTTACAGAGGTGTGCTGTTCTTGTTTGTATGTTTAATTTTGTTATAATTTTTGGTTTTCTTATATGTTGGAGAGAAACATTAAAACATTCTTATCAAATCTCTCATCATTTAAATGAAAACAGAATAAGTTCTTTGTAGTTTTTAAAAATATCTATAGTTCTTACTCAAGATACCTATACCTTGAATGCTTGGAGTCCTTGAGATTACATCTCTTCGTGATGATCAAGCCAAAAGGCAATCTATTATTTTTTAAAATGGCTTTTCAGTATCCTTATATCCCAGGCCAGTCTCTTCTCCTTGCCCACAGATGAATGATATTTATTTGATTATTTGATTATGTCATTCCTAAAGGTCAGAGCTCTTCTGCGGTAACCCTCAGCCCAAAAGATCGACAGAAGAAGCTTGTAGGTAGAAGTTATGTTCATTTCGAACTTAAGGTATAAGAGCTGAGTTTGGATAACGTATAAATATTATCCATCATTACACACACACACACACACACACACACACACACACACACACACACAAAGAGAGAGAGACACAGAGAGCACAAGCAAGAGAATCTAAATGTAAGAATACTAGCTGTCTAATACATTTTTGGAAGACCCATTAATAGACCAGGATTGTAAAATCAGTTGAATTTTCAAAAGGCAAATATTTAGCTGTATCAGGGAGTGTTCAATGTCCATTCAGTAAAAGGGGGTGGGAGGGAGTGGTGTTCCATTATGCGTCAGAACTTGTAATTTGATTGTATCTCATCAACTGTTTGAATAATTTCCATGTCCTCATAGTAGTGTGTTTGTCTCTTGCAGCAGTTTGCTCTAATTATTTCAGTGACTTTTCGCAATCATTTGTTCAGATACCTATCCCTGCTGGAGTGTTTAGAAGACACAGCCATGGTTTGGCTGTGTTGGTCTGTGTCTACCAAGTGACTTCATGGTGTCATTCCCTTAGGTGCTCAGTAAATAATCTGACCAATAAATGACAATGTAAGAAATCTCACATTTTCAGTTTTTATTACTGTTTTATAGGTTGATGGAAGTGAAGAGCTTTTGTTTTCTTGTTGCAGATTCTGGTCTTTTTGGTATTCCATTAACCATATTGTTAGAACAAGATCAAAGGAAAGTGCCGGGAACTAGAATACCCTTGATCTTTCAAAAAGTAAGTAGGCCTGAACTGGCCAGAGCAGCAGGAACACGCTTAGGCTAATAGTGGCATTTTACGCTCAGGCTATTCTGATACAGTTTTTCCAACTGGTGTGCTGTTTTTTTTTTTTTTAATATATATTTTAATTTTTCTATTCAGGAAGCAAATTTGTTTCAAGGCCTCTCATCATTTTTATCTCATAGTGATGCTTTCTATGATGTGACTGTAACTGTCTTATATTAGCTGCCTTTGTGTAACTGAGATTTCAATTCCATAATACATAGGAGTGGGGGCTGTGTATAAATTCCTAGGGAACTGAACCCTCATGAATATTTCATGTATGTGTGTATTTCTCAAGCTTTCCTCTTTGCAGAGAGGATACCCAACTTAATTTAACAGTGCTAATGTCCAGAGCAGGCAAAGAAGCCATAAAGTAGAATTAGAAAATGATTGCTAAACTATCAAGTCGCTTGTGTAGCCAGCACTCATTTATTCATAAGGAGATTGTCTGTAGCAATAAAAGGAATTTCCGCTCAACTTCTGAACCGTGATTGTGCTGACCAGATTATGTTTGATAAAACCCAAGAAAATACGGTAAGGAAGCCAGGCCAAAATATAGATCCTTTGCAACAGCCTCAGTGTATCAGTTTCTCCGGACAGTAGAGATGGTTTTTCAGTTGGTTGACTCGGCGAATCCTAAGGCTCAGTCTATTTGGTACTCGCTGTTCTGTTTCTATCAGTTATTTCACAGTTAGCCTCTTGCTGCTGCTCTTTTACTCCTCTTGATTGTCACTGTATCCAAACTTGTATCTAACGTGTCTTTTGATGGGTGTTCTGTAGAGTTTTTCAGTCACTGCCTGTTGAGCCTAGGTCTGTATTAATAGTTAATAATAGTTATTCCAATTAAGGTAAAGAAGCTAGTGTGTAGAGATTACATATTCCATTGTTTTTCTTATGTTGAAAGGATGGTGTTACTATACAAAGATATATTCGAAAGCCATATCCTATCCGTATCTGACTTCGGTCAAATCCTCCAGTGCCAATAGAGTCTATATCTATGTGTCTGTCTACAGCTCTACTTATTTCTTTCTATACCTATGTGTATGTGGAAAGGCTTCTTTTAATAATTTTGTTCATGCAGCTAATGGGATCCAGAAAGTCTGACATATATGGAACAAGACCCCAGGACAGCAACTTGAGCAAGAGTTGATGCTACAGTCTTGAGGAAGAACAGTTTCTTTACAAATCTCAGGCTGTGCTTTTGCATCTTCACCTGATGGGAGGAAGTTCACCATACCGCAGACAGAGGGTGACCTGCATGACTTAAACCCTGAAATCCAAACGCTGGTTACTTCTAAAAAAAAAAAAAAAAAAAAAAAAAATTGTCATTGCGGCATCTAGATTCGTGTTTGCCTGACTCTCTGGCTACTTCAGTGGTAGCAATTAGGTTGGCTCACATAGCTCATCATCACATGAAGAATCTGTTGAATATAATGTGAAATGAAGCTTCAGTCAGTAACCGAGGCTGAATACTGACTGCTTGTGGTTTGTCAGAAGAGGGAAAAAAAATCTCTCAATTTTCTTGAAATTTAGATTTTTTTTAAGTTAATTATTTTACAACTTTTTAAAAAATATCCTAGAGACTTTGACAGCCTACTATTCTGAATCAGTATTTCAATTTTTTTTCATATTAAAAATTAAGGGGGGTGATTAAGGCATTGACTGGCAGGTAGCTCTCACCAGTTTGCATATGCTTTGTGTTTGAAGAAATCAACCACAGAGATGTGTTGTGAGGAGCTTCTTTTGGTTATTGGCCCACACCTCCATTGTCTGCCCTTCAATTTTGTAACAAGGGAAAAAAGGAAACACTTGATTTATAGCAACATTCACTCGCAGACTCCAGAGGCCTAGTCTTTACTGCTGAAAGAAAGTGTGCATCGGGAGACACTAACCAAAGTTATATCAGTAACTTTCGTCTTTTACTTGTTTTTTTTTTTTTTTTTTCTGACTGTTCTTTTCTTATTCTCCCCGAACTCCTCAAAGGCAAAAGATGGTTTGTTTAACCATTAAGAGCGGTTTATTTTTAGAAGAAAAATGTTCACTTTACATTATGGAAAAAGTGCATTTTCTGGTCAAAATTTCAAATGCAGTGTCTTTGTTGTCAAGACAATCAGAGAAACCACTGGTGTGCCAAAAGAGTCTGATTTCATTTCCATTGTATTTTGCAGTACACACAGACTCACACACACATACACATACACACACATGTACACAGAGAGACACGTATGCACACATACTCAAAGATACACTCCCATACATAGACACATGCACAATCCACCCACATGTATAGGTATACATGTATTGTGATTTATATTCTGAGAAATATTATGGATCATTGATAAAATATGAAATGCCTAAGTTTCCCAAACAGCATAATTAAGTATAGTTATTTTTGTCTATTTTCAGGTCTTAAAAATTAAAAGAAAGCTGGAGTATGTGTCCTATTCATATAAAAGCTAATATGTAGCGAATTAATATTATAGCTGAAATACATGCTTTTTCAAAGTGAGAAATAGCAGATAATCCAGGGTATTGCTTCAGACAGTGCACATGTAACTCCTGATGTTGGGATCCAGCACCAGAGAAATGCTATAAAAAGATTCAAATGCAGCATTCAGAATGAATCCCATTTAGCTGTTTAGAAGCCACAATGTTCTTCTGTACTTAATGAAAGTGAAAGGTGTAGACTGCTAAAAACTAATTGACTTCAGCAACCTGCATTCAATTGGATGTTTTAATAAGACATGCAAATATTTTATAAGGTGAAATAAAATGAAAATTGGTCGTACATGGAATATTTTAATATTTGGCACGAAATACTTTATTGAATGACATCCTTTTAATCTTAAATAATTCATAATCCTTTTGCTCTGAGTTTCTCTACCATGGAACTTGAAAGATGTGGTCTAGGAGAAATTTGAATTTTAAAAATTGATGTACTTTTTTGACTCATCAGTGGTGCGTTAGCCCATAATGTGTTCTTAGGAGAATTTGAGCATCGGAATCTCTCTATATCAGTGAGTTTCCTGGTCAAAATCTACAGATTAGGTTGTTAGAGATCCAAATGCAATGGTACACCTGCTTTTGGAACAAGTAGGCAGAGGTCCAAAACCCTCCGTAAGCATGCTAGGTTTGTCCCTAATAGACACTTTTCTATTAAAAAGAAAAGCAATAAGCTCTGTGTGGCCTGTGGAGCCTGATTAATCATTAACAGAGGGTTTCCCAAAGAAAGCGTTCTTTTTAAATATTCCTTTGCACCCAGGGGGTTTTATACCTCAAGGTGCACAGAAAACATTCAACTAAGATTGGAGATGCTTGGAGGCCGGGTCTAGGTTTCATAAAATAAACTTTTGAGATGGGGGGGGGATGGGCTACAGAAAAGACGCACCTGGTGCTAGCAACTGCATTGTATTTATGAGGAGGGGATGGAAAGTGATCTCCCTAAACATAGCAGAGGACACTGTGTCCTCTATAAATTCCACATCCTGCCCAAGGGATATGTAACTCAGGTTTTCCAACTGGAAGCTCCCTGTCAGGGAGCACATGACTCCACTCTTACGTTACTAGCAGCTTTCTAACAATTTGCCTTCGTAATATTCCGTATTTGCCTGGTTTTTGTGATATGCTTTTTCAAAAAAATGTGTATTTACTCACCTTTTAAATTATGTGTATTTTTGTGTGGGTATATGCACGTGAATACAGGTGCCCACAAAGACCAAAGGCCTCTCCACCTGATACCTCCCCACCGGGAGTGACAGGCAGTCGTGAGCCATCTATATGGGAGTTGGGATCTGAAAATGGGCCCTCTGTGAGAGCAGTACATGCTCTTCACCGCTGAGCCATTTCTCCAGTCCCGTGGCTGCTCCATTTTTATTTTAGTTCGTTTTAGTGGAATCATCGTGCTTAATACGTGCCTTTTTATTGAGTGTTAGTATTACTGAGAAGCCCCATTTTAACGCATTCTTCTTTAAGCTTGTCACCAGAAGCTTAAAATGAGTATTAGCAACACAGTTTTTGTTTTTCCTATAAAAAAAATATTGTTTCCTGAAACAAACTAAATACAGTATATAAATGTGCAAATACTAGTCTTGCATGACATTTGCTTGATTGCATCATGCATGTTGCTGGAAAAGCAGAAGGGTGTCTGGGTGGCTTTTACACAGTGACCATCTTTTCCCTGATCTGTGGAGAGCTGCAGCTGTTGCGTGAAATTACACATTTCTTTTACAAAGGAGAATAAGATGAACTCTGAAAATCATAACTCGGGTTTTTGTATATACAGTGCTATATAGTATAGTTTTGAAGATGTTGGTCTCATGGCACTCAAAACTGAAAATCCAGTTTGCACACCATCAGAATCAGCTTTCACTTAGTGACATGGGGAACAGTTGTTAAACTGTACCTGTTAACAATTGCCTAGCTCAGAATGTTTGTCGGCTTATCCACAGCTGATTTCTCGAATTGAAGAAGGCGGTCTGGAAACTGAAGGCCTCCTACGAATACCAGGAGCTGCCATGAGAATCAAGGTAACCGAAACGCTTCGATTCTGTTAATGTACAATTTTATTGTTTAATTGTGCTTGTGCATTTTAAAGACCAACCTCCATGTTCCTTACCCCTGTTAGCAAAGCCAATAAAACAAAGCAGTACAGCCTCTTAATGTCCAGTTGATAGTTTCTCTCCACCCTCCTTTTTTTTTCTGTAATTTGTTATTTTTCCAACTCCCTGCCTCACCCCTTATAATCCCATGATAATGAGAAAGCCATGATTCAGGAGGCAGTAGAGAGCTGGGTGGAAGATTTAGTCAGTATGAGTAATAGCAATGGAGTTTTGGTTTTAAAAAGGAGCAGGAACATAGCACTCCAGGTGGGCTGCAGACTAAGGCTCTTGGCAGAAGGAACAGCTACGTGTAATAGCCAAGAAGGCCAGATAGGTGGCTTCAACTTTGTCAACTGATATACCCAGATTGTTGCCATAGGCTGGCTCATGCTACAGCCAGCTCCTAGTGAGTGATTTAAAGATGGTGTGCAACAGTTTGTTCTCTCTGCTCCACTGAATTTTTGTATACACCTCTTCCTTTCCTCTTTTTTTCTTTTAGTCTCTTATCTCTCTCTCCCTCTGTCTTCAATTCTTCTCTCTTCATCTTTTTTCCTCCCCTGATCCTTTCTTTATCATTCCTGGCTCACCTTTGACTCTACCCCAAGTTTTTCAGGTAACTTCCATATTTCTCACCAATTACAAAAACAATTAGGGGGAAAAAAAGAGGGTATTCTTGGGAGAAAATACGATAAATCTATGACGTAAGCAGAATAACAACAGAGGCCACAGCCTCAGTAGGGAACACTTTCCTAGAATACAGAAGGCATAGGGTTCAGTCTCCACCACCACAAGCAAAGCAAACCAAACAATGATAACACAAGCCTAAACCATCCTTTGAGAGAATGGTTCCAGGAATAGAAACTTAGAAGGATTTCTGACTTCACAGGGTTTGTGCCACAGGAAAAACGAATCCAGAAAAATAGTGTTCATGAACTAACTTGACTTAGTGCAGTCGTAGTTGGGTCGGTACATCCCATAGAGGCTTGTGGAGAAGCACCTGAGCATCCTCGTGCTACATGGACTCCCAGTGGACTTGAGCTGGCACCAGAACTGTGAAAGCGGGTAGCTTTATATATTTTTTTGACTCCTTATCTATAGGATTTGGTTTTTGTATTTCTCAGCGGTAACACAGTAGAGGTACCGGCTGCTCAAGGAATAGATTTATGTGCTTTGTTATGTAATATGCCTCTGAATAGCTCAACAAAAGCTTCATGTTGAATTGTAAATGGTTTGTTTTAATGTGACACATTGTAGCATCTAGGTGACATGCCCAGTGGAAAGTGATTTTAACCAATCTTTTAATTAAACCTTTGCTAATTAACGTATGTGAAAATGTTTAAACTTATTTCTTAACCTTGGGTATAATTTCTCCATATAAAGGACAGTCAAAGTTGGGGATGGCATTTCTTACTCCAAGTAAAAGAAAGATGTTGATTTTCACTACTTTGATACTTCTTGACATATTTAGAAACCTTGTAAGGTGGAAAACATACCATACTTTTTTAAAGGGGGGAAAAGGTGCTTACTGCTAATTTATTTTTCGCCCCTCAGAATCTTTGCCAAGAGCTAGAAGTGAAGTTTTATGAAGGGACTTTCAACTGGGAAAGTGTCAAACAGCACGATGCGGCCAGCCTGCTGAAGCTCTTTCTGAGAGAGCTGCCTCAGCCCCTGCTGAGTGTGGAGTATCTCAAAGCCTTCCAGGCTGTCCAGAGTAAGTGGTTTCCATCTGGAAGCAGCCTGGGTATGAGGGGGTGCCTCCCACAGGAATCGTCTCAGTGACAGTTGGCATCATAAGGCACAACGTAACGAGCTCTCTTTGGTTAGACATGTTGGTTCATGGATGTCAAGGGTTGCTAAAGTGCCACACATGACTTTCTTTTCCCACATATACATGCCTGAGTAAGCATGGCAAAATGTTCTTTTCAGGTGCAGATTAGTTGCATGGCTTTTAAGAACACAATACATCTAGAGTTACGACCTGGAAACTTCGAGTTTCTCTCTTAAGAGCATGAATCACATAGATCTCTGATGTGCTTTTCTTGCCAAGTGTTGAAATAAACACACACTGGAGAAACTGTGGATTAACAGCTATTATAAAAGCACAAGGAGATATAGTGTCTATGGCCATTTCCTGGAAACTTAAATCTGGAATTGTGTAGGAGGATGGGACCCAATTGCTGCCTCATTGGTTGAGGGCCACAAAATTCGGCTGTGTGGCCATTTTGTGGTCCTGGAAAACTCCAAAGTAAAGTATGTAATCAGCCCTGATTCCTTTCCAGGGAATCAGGATCTTACAAGGTTTATATACTGCTATGATTGTTCCACTTACTCCTAAGGGCCAACAGGGCAGGAAACAGTACTGTAATGATGTTCAAGTCGTCCTATCTTTAACTTCCAAACTGAAACATTTTGTGAGTGAATGAGGTCATTATTAACAAAAACAGTCATAAGGTACCCATTAGCACTGTTGCATGCTATTTTTTAGGTGTGCACTTTTTAGAGGAATGCCTAGGTTATCTTGTATAATAGCATGTTTTTCAAAATATCTAAAGAAGATAAGAAAATTGATATTCAGTGTCTTTGTTTTTCTTAACAGACTTCTCCTTCAAGCAAAAAACAAAAACAAAGTGATGTTTCATTAAAATATCTTTAATGATTAAGTTGTGTTATTTTGAATATATTCCCTGGGTATAAACCAAACTTGTTACTGGCTGACAAAGCCATACCAATAAGATTCTAAATCTCCGTGACTAATAGGTGCCAATGAAAGTAATGTACAGCTCCTGGAGGCGTCACTTGCCATTGGGTTTCTTGTCCATCCCATAAGCATTTATTGGACACCTGTTGTGTTCCAGGCTCTGATGTTCCTATGCTTGTCAGAAGACATAGCCTCTTCTCTTGTGTCTTATTCCCTTGGCATTAGAAGAAACAACCTTCAGTGCTGAAGGAGCAGCCTCGGTAGCATACCCTGCACAGTCCAATCTTCGCCATGTTAACTTAGAATTATTTCCAAATCACTGTGGCATGTCTGCAAACATAAGGCTGCTTGTCCTGTGGTCACACCCAGAAGCTAGCATCCTAGGACTGAGAGTGCTCTGAGCAGCTTCCTCTACCATCTCCAGCAAACACTCTTGATGAGGCTGGCTGCTCAGCCATGGTGTCCCACGTTTCACTATAATGTTTACAACGAATAACTTGTTTTTTTTTTTTTTTTCTTTAAAAAATAAGAGAAAAAAAGTGTTCCCCAAAAGTTTTAAGATTTCTTTAATCTATCTACAGGTCTTCCAACTAGAAAACATCAATTGCAGGCCTTGAACCTCCTTGTCATCCTTCTGCCTGATGCAAACAGAGACACGCTGAAGGTCAGCTGCTTCATTTACACTAAATATTCCTTAGAACTGTGCAGAGCAACTTTTCATTATTTGTGGAAAAAACAGTGTGATGCTTATTTTGGAAACAGTAATATTCATCTAAAATGGAAACATTGCTTTTAAGGACAGACACTGAGAGGCAGCCTTTCGCTCTTAGCTTGCTAGGTGGTAATTTTATTAATATTATAAGAGTTTATTATATATGTGTGTATTATATATATATGTCTGTGTGCCTGCTTCTGTGTATGTACACTCTGTATGCACAGGTGCCCATGGTATTGAGAAGGCATGCAATCCCTGGGAGCTGGAGGCCTATGTCTCTTGAGCCTCCTTATATGAATGGGAGACTTGAATGTTGATCCCCTGCAAACAACGAGCTTAGTCAAGGTTTCTAATCCTGGGAAGAAACAAGGCAACTCTTAGAAAGGAAAGGTTTAGTCTGTTATTGTCAAGGCAGGAAGCATGGCAGCCTGTCGTCTGGAGCATGTTGCAGCATGTTGCTGGAGAAGGAGATGAGAGTTCTACATCTTGAAGGGCAGGCCACCGCCAGAGAGAATAACGCACTTCCTCCAACAAGACCATGCCTCCTCCTCCAAGACCACACTTACTCCAACAAAGCCACACCTCCTAATAGTGCCACTCTGTGAGCCTAAGGAGGCTATTTTCTTTCACACCACCACATAAGCATTTAAAATGCAAGTGCCAGCTCTCACTGTTTTCTAAAGATGTGACAGGTGTTTATGGGTAAAAGTGGCAGATTTTGAAATAAGTCACAGTGGCCAACTGAAATATTTGCTAACATAAAGTTACTTCTCTAAGGAGCTGAGGTTCTGATTTGTATTCTCTTAGTAGTAATATCATTAGAGGTTCTTTGGATTGGTGTGGATTTGTTTCACACTGATCAGTGTTCCTTAGAAGCAAGTAAATTTAGCATTGCTAGGCATCTTGGTTTGAATGAGAATGTCCTCCATAGGCTCATTTGTATGGATACTTGGTCCCCAGTTGGTGGAACAGTTTGGGAAGGATTAGGAGGTGTGGCCTTGTTGCAGGAGGTGTGTCAGTGGGGGCGGCCTGTCTCCTGCTTGTGCAGCAGGATATAAGCTCTCAACTCCTCCCTCAGTGCCATGCCTGCTGTCGTGGCTTGCTCCCTGCCGTGATGGTTACGGACTCGCCATCTGTACAATAAGCCCTAGAAAACCTGTCTGTAAGTTGTCTCAGCCATGCACTGACAATCTGTGAAGTACAAATATGTTTCTGGGTGAAGGAACAAGGCTTTGGAGGTTCTCCTGTGGCAGACATTCTGTGTTTCTTGTCATGTTCAGAAGGAGTGTTATCAAGGAACATGAAGAGTTGTCAGTCAAGTCCCAGTGCAAAGTTTGTTGAGTTCAGGAGGCAGCTTTGGGATTGCTATTAAGACAGGTCAACCCTGGATCGATTTATTTCAGAATTGGACGAGCAAAACAGCTGTGTAGGAGTGTGCACACTCTGGATACCACTGGCCTAGGATAAAGTTGGGCCAAACACATCCTTGACACAGTCTCAAACTCAGAAAGGAGAGGAACATCCTTTTCTCGTACATGAGGTCCTTGCTTGTGTGACAGGCCCATGAGAATGAGCAGTGTAAGAGGACCTGAAAAACCCATAAGTTCAAGCGACCTACCCCCCTTGAGACCATTTGGAGGAAGTACATTCCATGGTAGTTGTTAGTGAGAGATGGTGCTCTAGAGTCCTTCTTTGGACTTGGCCTTCAAACTCTAGGCATGTTCTTTTATTATTCTGCTTATATATGGATGCATGTATAGGGATGGTTAAACACGTCTTTAATGTGAGTTTGCTGAAAGTATGTTTGTAATTAAATGTGAAAATGCTGTTTTGTCAAATTCTGTGAGATACAGTCATGTAATTTTACTTATTTAGCTGGCTTTGATGAAGCTTTCAAACAAAAAGCCTACTAACAGAAGCATCATTAAAAAGTATGAGACAAATTATACGTTTATAAACTGTGAATTAGTCCCACAAGGGAGAAGGGAAGCTCCTTTGAGGCGTAACTCAGGGAAGCTTAATGTAAAGTTCCTTCTCTTTATGCATCCCTTGTGCTGCTCCTTCCTTTGTCATCTGGAAGGGGAGAACCCTGCATGCTGTTTATGAAAGACAGGCCCAGGGAAAACCCGAGGGTTAGGGCAGAGAGGAGCACAGCGTTCTGGTGCCGATGGAGAGGGACAGAGCTTTGGACACTGCTGCTCCAGAATTGCTTTTCTCTTAGGCTATCACACATTGGATCAAGGAGCTGTACCTGGGTTTGACTTGGAGAAATAACAGAGACTTATTTCTACTTATCAAGAAAGGGTCTGTGTTAATATGGTTACCCACCGTAATACCCTTTATAGTTTTAAGGGTTTTTTTTTTTTTAAGATTAATTTTTATTTTTTAAGTGTGCGTGTGTATGTGTGCATGCATGTGTAGTACTTTTGGCATCCAGGAGAGAGTGTCAAATCCCCACGCAGGAGTTAGAGACAGTTATGAGTTGTCCAGATGGGTGCTGGGAACTGAGCTCGGCTTTGTAGGAACAGGGACTACTCTAATGTTTTAACCACTGAGCCACCTGCCCAGCTTCCCACGCTCCCCCCCTTTAAAAGGTTTTAATTTTGTTCAGGTGTGAGGGGGCACAATATGAGTGCTTCAGAGGCCAGAAGAAGGCTTAAGATAGAGGTAGGTGTGAGCCACCGCAGGCGGGTGCTGGGAATCAAACTCTGGCTTTCAGCAAGAATACATCTCTTATCCATTGAATCATCTCTCTGATTCTTTCTTTTGAAATTAATTTCATTTAATTTTGAAACTTTGCTGTATATGTTGTCACACTCCTTGAAGACTAGGAAAGTTCTATTTCCATTTTACGTAGGAACAAATCTTTAAGGAGCTGTTGAAAACAGATAACCAGTAAAGAGTAGCCACTGTCCTGGGCCTCAGGTGTAGGTTTACCGGGGGTTAGTCTCCTCATGCCAGGCTCTCTTTATGGTTTGTACCTGCTTAAAACAGTGCATTGTTCAGTGTGGAGGAAAACTTTCACTTTTTCAAGGGCTGAGCCAACATTTTGCTACCTTATCTTCTCTTTTCTTCCCTCCCTCTTTCCCCCTCCCTTTTCTCTCCCTCCTTTTTCTCTCTGTCATTCCTCTAGTAATATTTTGAACAATTCTTATTGCATGTGCACACCACAATTAAAACAATCATCTAATCTTTGTAATTCGTGCTCTTAAAGAAAAAGATGCACTTGGTCCCCGAGAAACCATCCTAGTCTCTGTGGAACAAAATTAAATATTTTTTTTTTCCTAAAGTTCAATTAATATTTTGTCTTCATTTGTGAACATGTTACTTCAATATAACACAGTGCTTGAATTACCATTTAGCTTTCCAAGCACTGTACCAGATATTAGATACATAAATTTTGCTATTAGATCGTAAGCCTTTGCCTTTGGTTTGCTTCTCATGTCTGAGGTCTGTACTGCAACTAAACCTGATGATGTAAGATCAGCCTGTTAGCACTGGCATCTAGTCTTTGGTTTTTCCTCTTTTGTTTTTTGTTTGTTTGTTTTTATTTTTGTTTCTGCTATGAAATCTTGTAAAAAGATGAGTTCTATCTGGCATCACTCCTTCTATTTTGGTCTAGCCTATTTCTACCTCTTCAGGTAGGGAAGTTAGGCTAACTATGAAAATGTGATTCCTTGCGTAGTTAAGAGCTTAAAAACAAAAGCCATGGAGACCTGTAATTAAATTCTTCCTGCAGCTTTTGCTGGTAATGTGCCCTCTAGTAGTGGTTCTCTAAGACTTCCTCATCTGCACCCTGGGGTGGTCACAGTATCCACCTCTTGTGAGGATTAAAAAAATAATCTCTAACATGTACTTAATATGATGCCTCACACCGCGAGAGCATCGAACACACATGCAGTCAATGTTATTCTTGAGAAGATCAATTTAAAAGTAAAGGCAAAAGAACCTTCCGCCTTGGCAGAGCAGGTTGAGTCAGGTGCTGGTGGCTCTGCAGGCAGACGGCACAGAGCATGATAGAGGTGGGCTTAGAAATGTGATGCTGAGAGTTCCGGTTCACTCATCTCTTCAGCTTCATATGGGCCTACTAGTTAGGGGCTTGGGGGATATCTCTGACATGGCCAATGTTGCCTGCTTTTTGATCACTTCCCCCTCATGGGACTTTCCTACCAGGCCACAGGTGAGAAAGAAGAACTCGGTCCTCATGAGAGAATAGATGAGCTGGGATGTCTGGGTAGGGGAGATTGTATGCTGGAGGGAGGGCGGTACTGGGAGGAGGGAGGACCCTATGCCCAAGGTGTAAATTGAATTGATTAATAAAAAACAGCAACACACACACACACAAACAAACAAACAAACAAAAAAACAATGCTCTTTCTTTGGTATTTTTTTTCTTTCATCATGAAGATCATTTTTGTTTAGGTTTTGTGTTAGCAGGCTATGGAGTCCCCTTAAGTGACAATTAAACTGTGGTGGAGTGAACTTTCTCAAGGACTTTCTTTCTTTTTCTTTGTTCTTCCCATTATTTGCATTTTCTTCCCTTTCCTATACCTTTATCCCTTTCTCTTTATACCCCTCCTCCCTCTCTTGTTTCTTCCTTCCTTCCCTCCTTCCTCCTTCTTTTCTTCCTTGAGGTAAAAGAATCAGCACTTTCTCTAAACCATGGGAGTGTTTCTATGTATTTTAAACTGTTTCTCAATGTTCTTCAGCTCCTGTAGCCTTAGAGGGCTGGACTCTGTCACACACCTCTTTGCCATGTCAGAGGCCTTACTACCCAGTGCCACAGTCTTGGGATAAATAAAACACCATTTTGGGCTTCTTCAGTCTCTCAGAAGAGCTTTGCTGGCAACGTCTGTATGATATCGATAGCTGACTGTGGTTACACATAATTCACATGCAAGTGTGTGTGTGCACGTGCATGCCAGAGGTCAACCTTGAGTATCACTCTAAGGCGCCAACTGCCTTGTTTTTTGAGAGAGGGTCTCTCACTGACAACTAGGGATCACTGAGCTATGCAGGTTGGTAAATAATCCTATTTCTGCCTCTCCAAACACACTGTTTAACTCAGCTTTTTTATGAGTTCTAGGAACCAAACTTGGGTCTGCATGCTTGTATAATGGGCACTTTACCATCTGAGCTATCCTCAGCTCTGACAACTTCTTTTTTAATTTTTTTTTTACATTTATTTATCTGTGTGTTTATGTGCTTGAGTACATGAGTGTCAGTAGCTATGTAAAGTTCAGAGAATTTCTAGACGTTGGTTATCTCCTTTTGCCATGTGGGGTCTAATGGCTGACCTCAGGCTGACAGGCTTGAAGGCAAGTCTTCTTATCTGATGAGGTATATCAGAGCCCAGACTCTCTTTAAATTTTTTCTTTCCTTATAATTTTTATTTTAAGTAAAATTTTCTTTAATTCTTTGGTAATTAGGATAATTAACTATTTCATTAATTTTTGGGTAATTTCATACAATGTACTTTGATAATTTTCAATCCCACCTTCAAGCCCTCCCAGATCCTTATCCACTTCATGTCCTTTCTCCCCCTCCCCCTTTCATTTAGGACCATTGAATCCAGTTTGCGTAGCCCAAGTACTTGTGGGAGTGGGGCAAACTCCTCGCTTTTCGCCCAGATGTTATCAAATACCAGTAGCTTCTTTGTCAGGCACATGACATTGTGCTCTCCTTCTCCCCTCCACGATGGTGTTTTGTCTAGCCTGTGCTTGTGTGGGTCTTACTCATTCTGTCACAACCACTGTGCGTTCATATGTGGAACTTCATTGCCATGTCTGGTAAATACTGTTTCATTGTAGTCATGTGTCTCCTCTTGCTCTTATAATCTTATGTCCCCTCTTCCCCGATGCACCTTCAGTCTTGAGGGAAGGCATGTGATACAGATGTACAGTTTAGGGCTCAGAATTCTGTAGTCTCTTAGGGTCTGCACCTTAGCCAGTTGTGGGTCTCTATTAATTACCATCTCAAGAATAAGCTATTCTGATGAGGATTAGGAGCGGCATTAGTCTATGGGTATACAGTAAGTCGTCAGGAGTTGGTTTAATACTATTTTCGTTTAGTACAGTAAGAGTCGCAGGTTCTTCCCTAGGGTCTGTGATCTGTGTAGCCACAGGTTCTTGGCCCAGATAATGGTGACAAGTATACTCCTCCTTGTGGAGAAAGCCTTAGATCTAATCAGAGAGTCGTTGGTTACTCTCATGATATTTATGCCACTACTACACCAGTGGGCATCTCTCGCCAGGCCAATAATTATTGTAGTTCAAGGAGTCCACAGTTGGATAAGATTAATGTTTACCGTCCTCTTCTGGTATCATGCATAGCACCCCGCTTGCACCATGAAAGTTAGCAAGTAGAGATGAAACTTGTGGTCACTACCATCTTGATTTCTCCATGATCTATGAGTCAAGTATACGGTGTCTTCAGCAATGGGATCATACTATTAAGTTCTGAAGAATAACCAAGAACAATGGAAATAACTATTGGCCAACAAACCCAAAAGAGATAGCCCATCCCTGGTAGTGGGCTTTTCTTTTGCTAGCCAGTGGTGTTTAATAGGGGCATTATCCCCTTCAAGTTAATTCCATTTAAGCTCTTTATGTGATATGATTATATTGTAGGAAGCTAATATAATAAATAGGTGGTTTTCAAATGACTTTTTCAGAAGGCCTTTGGAGTTAACTAACCTCATTTTTAAAACAACTTAAAAATTCAGTATAGTACAGTGCCTTAATCTCTTAGCTCCATGTATGACAGAAATTTTGGTTGTTTGTGTTTTAGGCCTTGCTTGAATTTCTCCAAAGAGTCATAGATAACAAAGAGAAGAATAAAATGACAGTTGTAAATGTAGCAATGGTCATGGCCCCAAATCTCTTCATGTGCCATGCACTGGGTTTGAAGTCCAGCGAACAGAGAGAATTTGAAATGGCGGCCGGGACAGCAAACGTCATGCACTTACTGATTAAGTACCAGAAACTTTTATGGACAGTAAGTATATGTTTTTAACTTGAGTGCTTCGGTCAGTGTACAAAGTATTGGGTTTCATAGCGACCTCTTTGTACGTATGTGTCATTATAGCTTTTTCCTCTGACTGCCTGTGTTCCTTGTGGCAAGTTCTCTTCCTTCTCACCAGATGGTACTCTTTTTAAAAAATCTTTTAATTGTATGTATTCCATAGTCCGTCTTTCTCCTCTACTCTATTTCCCTCCTCTTCCAGCATTTTTTTTTTCCTAACACATGTGGACACATCCATGCAAATATTTACACAAAATTTTAGATCTAAGTTCTTCATATAAGAAAAACATGGCATTTGTTTTAAAACTGCAATAATAGTCATGTAATTTCTTCGCATAATTGTTCATAGTAATCATGAAAATAAGTTTATAAAGTTGATATTAAAAAGCAATATGCTTTTTTCTTAGTGGCTTAAAATGCACTGCCTGTTGGCTTCCAGCCTTATAAAATTACCGTTAACGTTTGTGAGTGCAGAGGTATTAAAGGCATTTTATTCACAGAGGTAAGGAAGGCCTTGTGAATTTCTATTTTAAAATCATAAAATTAGGTCAAGAAAACATGCCTTGTAAAAGGTACTTTTTATGTAGTTCCATCAACCCATTTTCCCTCTGCACGGTGTTCAGCTGTCATGTTTTAAAGAGCTCATGCTGTCTCTGCTTCTGATCATCGCCTTATTTTCCAGAGAACAGTTATTTAAAGGGACACACACATCCTGCACCCTGATTGCTGAGGTCTTGTATGCAATTTTCTGCTTTATTCTTATGTTGATGTAAAGTTTTGACAGATAATCAACATGGATGTTGATAAGAGATTTAGTTGATTACAATCTCATTTTTCAATGAAACTTAGAATTTTTTTTTGTTTTGCAGAGAAAGAAAGTCCTTCTTACAAGCATTTAGATAAATGAACTAAAGAATTTCTAAGCCAAATTATGATATTAACTATTTTAATCTCTAATGTGAGCTTCTACTAATCCCAATATTTTTTAAAAATACAAAATGATGCTCCCTGGATTTTCAAAGTTTTTTATAGTCTATCCAAAGATGAGTAATAGTTTTAAAGTAATATTGTTATATTGTCTGCCTCTTTTAAGAAAAACTTTATTTTATGGGTACTTTTTAATGACCTAGAAGATTTTTGTTTTTAATATAATTTTTAAGGATAAATTTTCCCTTACCTTTAGAAGTAGTAGTACCACCACTAATTCTTGTCTTTTGCTAATGGGTGAACTTCTCTGACAGTAGTGGCCATCTGGTTTCTGGAAAGGGACCTGGAGGTTAGTTAGTGTCTCAGAGCTGGAGAGAAGTGGTTGGTACAGGGACACCTGCAGAGGTGGTGGCCTCCACAAGGGTCTCTTCAGGGAATCTCCTATGTTGACATCCGTGGCATTGAAGAGGCCAGTGTGTCCATGCACTTCACCAAGTCCCTTTTGGAACCTTGCACAGTGGGTGGTAAATTATACCAAGAGGATGCCCAGTTCCTGGTCTGAAAGAGTGCATGGTTCATTTCTTTTCATAGAGTTAATGAACGGCTTAGTCTTGAGAAACAGAACCTTTAATCCTCTTGAAATTAAAGAATGAAGTATTTAGTTTAAAAAAAAAAGAAAAGAAAGGTTCCATGTCTTTTTCTTCCTCAAGCTGAATTTCTTTTCTTCATAGATTCCGAAGTTTATTGTAAACCAAGTGCGGAAGCAAAATACTGAAAATCAGAAAAAGGAAAGAAAAGCCATGAAGAAATTGCTGAAGAAAATGGCTTATGACCGAGAAAAACATGAAAAGCAAGATAAAACTACAAATGATGTAAGCAGATCATTATTGTAAATTAAGTACACCATTGGATGCCTTTACATTTATTGAGGCTTGGTAATATTATCAGTGAAAGATACTAGTTTTCTTCTAATGATCTATATTGAAATTTGGTCAGATGTAGGGACTCGGCATGTGGTTTAGTAATAGTGAACAAATAAATAATGTCAAAAGAAAACCATCTCTAACGTCCCCTGCACATGCTTGCGCACACACACACACACACACACACACACACACACACACACATACACACACACTCCTTTTGTATAGTTCAGATGCTCACCAATTTTATGATATATAGCAAATGAAATTCCTGTGCACTCCACTAATCTTTTTCATCCATAAGAATTCACCCAGGTATTTGGCCAGGCTGGGGATATCTTGCGGCTGAAGATCAGTCCTAGACCCATAAAGTATTTAAGCTCTGTAATTTGATCAGGGGAATTTTAACTTATGTTATAGAGAAGAAAATTAAGATTAAAAAAAAATCCATTATTCACAAACTAGTGTAAGAATATGTTAAGAGCCGTGTTTACGTTAATGAAATATGCATGAAATTATATTTCTGAATTGAGTTAACAAAACTATGGTGGCAGATCTCAGAATGGGCGAAAGGCCTTCTATTGTTCTACTTAAGGGAAAACACCCCTCACCCCAACTGAAGTTGCTCAGTTGCATGCTGACATCTTGTGGAATACCATGAAAATGCAATCATCAGCCTTTGTCCAATTTTTCTCCTTTGGCCTTCTTTTAAGGCGGTGGGGGGCACCAAAATAATATTAATTCTTTTCTTCTAAACGTATTTGTAACTATCTCTTAAAAATAATAGTTGCTTAGAAATGTAAAAATGCTTTTTCTCTGAAAGATACAAAATATACGTAAGGGAAATGATCAGTGTTGTTTATAGGATTTTTTTTTTTTTAGCTTAATTTTATCATAGGGCTAGAAAGGATTTGTGACATGCTGTTTTTCTTTCACTTTGGAATGCTCCATTACTTCAAATACAATTATAAAAAGGGTGCTGGCCTTGTAGTCCTGGCTGTTCAAACTAAGTAAACTCATATTGCTTTTTTCTTTTCTAAAAAATTCAGGTATTTAGCAAAATGCTGTTGATCCAAGATATCAAACCTGAATCCCTCATTAGATATTCAAAGAGACCCAAAGCTGGTTGCTTGCCTTCCCACCCCGTTCAGAAGCAGGTGGCTCAGATTAACCTGAGTGGGTGTGATGGAAGCCTTCCCTGGGTTCTGTATGCTAGGTAACAGGAAGTGGACCTTACAGAGGCTTCAGGGTTAGTTTCGAAAACATGTAAGAGGTGTAGCCCACAGAGGAAGTTCCCTAGGCTCACAGCTCCACAGTTAGGATCAAGTTTTCCCTGTCTTTAGGTTGAGAATTTTGAATTCAGTTCCAGAAATTTAGTTTTCAAGTTGGTACCATAGAATCAAGTTGGTATCTTAAGAGTCATATGTACAGGCAAAAGCTACAAAAGAGCAAAAAATAAAAATAAGAAATGGGGGGGTACAAAATGAAATTCAGTTGTATATGTATGCTTTTGAAAGCATCCACACATCCATTGCTAGACCTGAAAGCCTGAAAGATTGAAAATTGAAAGTTTTGGCCTAGGTTTTATAGCACATAGGTCAGAGGGTCATGCTGTCCCCTAGGCCACAGGCACTGTCAAGCAAGTGCCTGGCTCTGCAGCTGATCCCTTTGAATGCTGTGTGAACCCCCTTACCCCCACTTTGCCTTAAACATCCTCACTTTACTTCCTTGATTCTTCCTGTAAATAATCCGGGTGTGCAGTCTAGGCCCTACATGGTCAGGCTGGACACTGCCTGAAATGTGGTCTTTATTTTTTTAAGCAATTATTCACATTTTCACTTACACTGTTGTTAGGTATTTGAAAGACATTATTGGACAAAATAGTAGAATATCACTACTCACCATGGAAGTTAACATTATTTAAGTAAAGTAAATATAAATATACAGAAATAGATTAATAATGTTTTACTATGTAGTGTGGGCAATGCTTTAAATGTGTGTGTGTGTGTGTGTGTGTGTGTTTATATAGGAAGGAACCGAGAAAGGAAGAAAGGAAGGTAAGGAAAGAGAGAGAAAAAGGGAGAAAGAAACTGGGAATATGAATATGTGATCATCCAGGAGACCCAATTGTGGTCCAAGATAGCCTGCAAGTCACAAATAGCAGAAGATGAGTTTGAACTTCTGATCACCCTGCCTCCAACCCAGAGAGCTATATTGCAGACAAACACTACCGTGCCCAGCTTTTATACAGTGCTTGGTAGAATTGTTCATGGTAAACACACTCTACCAAGTAAGCTAGACCAACACCCCCCTAGTGTTAATATAAAATGTTGTGAATATAGCAAGAAAAATGTCTCTTATTGAGTTTACCATCTTATCTGCAGCAATTTTATTGGTAAATACATCTATCATATTCTCATCGTACCTCTAAATTCTCTTCTATCCATGGTACCTCAGAAAACTGTTTGTACTGATTATCATTTAGCAAAAATAAAACCATTTCCATTTTTTTTTTCAGAAACAAAAGTAAATAGGAATAGGGAACTCAGAACTGAAGTCTCATCGTGAAGCCCAACTGCCCTGACACTGCCTATACAATCCAGGTTGGCTTGGAACATACAGCCATCCACCTGTCTCTGCCTCTAGAGTGATGGGATTAAAGGCATGTGCCACCATACTTGGCTTAAAAATATATATTTTTAAATAATAAAAAAAGAAGAAGAAGAAGAAAGCATTTGGAGAGGAACCTCTTGCCATATTTAATTAGCTAGAGGGGTGTTATTCATTTTAACAGTTATGAAGCAAGATGGAAGTCTGAGCTCTGTGTCTGTCTCAGGAAGCACCCTCTGGGCAGAGGAAATGTCCATGAATTCAGAAGGCAAGAGCTTGGTTGGGATGTTTGAGCACTAGCATGGTGTGAATGATGCCAGCTTGCCAGCAGGGCTGTATGAAATGAGGTCAGAAGGACACTAGGAATAGATCACATAGAATTTGAATTTAACCCAAGGCAAAATGAGGTCATTGCAAGATTTTGTGTAAAGGAACGACATATGTGTAGCACTTGAAAGTCGTAGGAGGACCTTATAACCAAGGTGAGAGACAGTGGTGGGTCAGACCAAAGTATCATTGGAGGAGTAGTTGGATTCTGGATATATTTTAAAGTTAGAGTCATTTAGATTCATTGCTAGAAATTTATATAAATTGTAAAAGCTGAAAGAAAAGGTAAAGGAATTAATGACTGAGGCAGAGGCAGGCAGATCTCTGAGTTAGAGGCCAGCCTGGTTTAGAGAAAGAGAGAGTTCCAGAACAGCTAAGGCTACACAGAAAAACTCTGTCTCAGAAAACAAACAAACAAACAAACAAACAAAAACCAAACAAACTGATCCAAAATTTGTGATGTGAGAAATTGGAATGACAGGAAAGATCATACTTTTCAAATGGGACCTGTTGACTATGGGTTGAACTGGTAGATGTCTACAGGTTAAGACAGGTGTTTGAGTGATTTTGGAGGGAGAGCAGGACCTAGGTCAGGCAGAGAGGTATAGCATGCCAGGGCCAGTGGGAAAGCAGGAACTGGGTGCAGAACAGGGCCAGGCCTGTATTCTGTATTTCAGGGCAAATAAGGTTTCGTTTTACTCGTTTGTATCTGCATTTTAGGACAGTCCTTGTGAGGGACAGTTTGGGAGCATAATGAAGCTTGGTAGGAGACTCTGGTTAACTCGTGACTGATGAGACTCTTTACATTGGAATATGCAGTTTAAAGGACATTTACTGACACAGGGCAACCACCTGAAAGTTTTGCTTCGTAGTGGACTTCATTTCTTCAGCTTTTTTAAATTGTGTGTCTATTTGTGTGCGAGCATGTGTTTGCAAGTGCCTGTGTAGGCCGGAAGAGGAGGCTGGGTGTCCTGGAGCTGGAGTTGCAGGTCACTGTAAACCTCCCTTCATGGGCACTGGGAACTGAGCTCTCGCCCTCTAGAGGAGCAGGAAGTGCTCATAGCCACTTTTCAACCCCCTGCTGCACTTTCATTGACATTTTCTGTAGCCACATTTGAAAACAGTCTAATCATAAAGAAGTATCTACTTAGCTATCCCATGGTATATTTATATCAATGAAGTATAAAAATGTGCACGATATAAACATTTTATATCGTGAAGTCCCAAAAAAAAAGGTAAAATAACAAAAAGAAAAATAAGTCGAACCAACGAATAGTAGAAAACAAAACTTGTGAGGGGTAAAAATTAGGATTTTTTTTTTTCTTCTACTTCTGAGACTGAAACCAGAGCTGGCCACTCTACCCCTGGGCTGAATTTCCCAACCCTGAATTTTTTAAGCACTTACCTAGGGTAAGAAACATGGCTAAAGATTTTACAGACATTATCTTATTTTAAAATCTGTTTGCCTCATTAAGAGTACATTGTCATATTTTTCTTAGATAAGAGAAGGAGAAAACAGCAGTTTTAAGCTTCTTAAAAAAGAAGAGATTTAGGATTCAAGACAAACTATGACTTTAAAATCCATCAGTTTTTAACCATTTTCTCAATTTTTCTCAGATTATAACCTCTAAGGAGAATGTGTACCAAATCTCTGAGTTCATTGTGTTGTTTTTGATTCTCTGTTGCTGATGATAACAAATTACTTGCAGATAGTTTTTAAAATAATCCTGGATGGGAGGAGGCAAGGTCCAGTTGTGAAAGGGAAGAAATTTAGAATAAGAGCTGACAGCAGTCACAAAATGTGGCTCCTGGTTGAATGTTAGGAGTGTGGGAAGATGATTACAGATCGAAACTGAATTTTGTTTACGAGATGTGCCTATATTGGACTGAGGTGGAGTTCCAGGGTCACTCATAGCTTCAGCTACTCTTTATTAATTAGCCTAGAAATTGTACTCAAGGCCACGGAATGCTTGTGTAACTCAAGAAAGATTCGAGGGTAAGAAAAAAGGAAG